TAACATATTTGGGGGGTGAGCCACAATTCAGTTTATAACAGAGACTAATAAACAGAATATATAAAGAGCTCTTGCAACTTAACAATAAAAAGACAAACTCCAATAAAAATTGGCAAGGATTTGAAAGACATTTTCCAAAGAAGATATATAAATGGTCAATAAACACATGAAAAGATGCTTAATATCATGTCATTCAGGAAATGCAAATCAAAACTACATCGAGATAGTACCTCACACCCAATAGAATGGCTATAAGATAGATAGACTATATCAAATGTTGGTGAAGATGTGGAGAAATTGAAACTCTCATACACTGCTAATAAATGGTACAGCTCCAAGAGGTTAAACACAGAGTTAACATATGACCCAAACATTCCATTCCTAGGTACATACCCAAGAGAAATGAAAACATTTTCACACAAAAGTTTCTATATGAATGCTCATAGCAGCATTATTCATAACAGCCACAAAATGGAAACTACCAAATGTCTATCAACTGATGAGTAGAAAGACAAAATGTATATATTCGCATAACAGAATATTATTCTGCCACAGAAAGGGATAAAGTACTGATTCATGCTACAATATGTTTTATTTTGAAAACACTATGCCAGCTGAAAGAAGCCAGATGCAAAATGCACATATTGTATGATTCCATTTATATGAAATGTACAGGATAGGCAAATTCACTGACACACAAAGTTGATTAGTGGTTGCCAAGGGGCTGCGGGCATGGGGGTATGAGAAATGGCTACTAATAAGTATAATAAATATGGGGTTTCTTTTTAGGGTGATGAAAATATTCTAGAATTAGAAAAATATTCTAGAATTGCACAACCTTGTGCAATTTTTATACTAAAAATCACTGAACTGTGTATTTTATCCATTTAAAAGTATTTTTATTGATTTCAGAGAGGAAGAGAGAGGGAAAGAGAGATAGAAACATCAATGATGAGAATCATTGATTGGCTGCCTCCTTCATGCCCCACATTGGGGATCGAGCCCACAACCTGGGCATGTGCCCTGAATGGGAATCGAACTGTGACCTCCTGGTTCACAGGTTGATTCCCAAACACGGAGCCACATTGGCTGGGCTGAACTGTATATCTTAAAAGGGTGAATTTTACAGTGTGCAAATTATATTTCTATTTAAAAAAATAAATTTAATTAAATATGTAAGAGATCTATGTGCTGAAAACGGTAAAACATTGCTGGTATAAATTAAAGAAGATCCAAATAAATGGAAAGACAGGCCATGTTTACTCATTAGAGAATTCAATATTGTTAAAATGTAAATTTTCCTTAAATTGATAAAAAATTCAATGAAATCCCAATAAAAATTCTAGCAGGCATTTTTGTCAAAGTTGACAAGCAGATTCTAAAATGTATATGGAAATGCAAAAGACCTAGAATAGCCAAGACAACTTTGAAAAAGAAAACAAAGTAGGAGATGTTTTCTTTATGATTCCAAGACTTAAAATAAAATAAGAGCATAGTATTAGCCTAAAAACAAACACATAGATAAATGGAACAGAATAAACTTCAGAAATAGACTTGTATAATTGATTTTTAATAAAGGTGCCAAAGTAATTAAATAAGGAACTGTCTTTTTAAAAATATATATTTTTTTATTGATTTCAGAGAGGAAGGGGGAGGGAGAAAGAGATAAAAACATCGATGAGAGAGAATCATTGATCAGCTGCCTCCTCCATGCCCCCTACTGGGGATCGAGCCTGCAACCCAGGCATGTGCTCTTGACCAAAATCGAACCCGGGACCCTTCAGTCCCCAGGCTGATGCTCTATCCACTAAGCAAAACCGGCCAGGGCCTGTCTTTTTAATGAATGATTCTGGAATAACCAGGTATATATTTGGAAATAAGTGAACCCCAACCCTTACCTCACACTATATACAAGAATACAAGAGTTATGATCTGATGGAACATAAACCTAAATGTAGAAGCTATAATTATAAAATCTTTAGAAGATAGGAAAAATATTTTGTGCCCATGCTGTAGACAAAGATTTCTCAGTTAGGCTTTTTGTGTACTATCATAAAATTATTTAAAACACACTGATGAATTGGTCTCCATCAAATTTTCAAAACAACTACTCTTTATAAAACACTGTTAAGAAAATGAAAAGACAAGTCATAGACTAAAAGAAAATATTTGAAATACATATATCTAATGAAGGACTGGTATCCAAAATATATAAGGAATTCCTACAACTCAAAATAAAGAATACATATAACTCAATTAAAAATGAACTAAACAGCCCAGCCAGAGTGGTTCAGTTGGTTGAGCATCATCCCATGCACCGAAAGTTGCTGGTTTGATTCCTGGCCAGGGCACATAACTGGGTTTTGGGTTTGATCGCCAGTTGGGGAACACAGGGAAAGCAAGTGATGTTTCTCTCTCACATTGATGTTTTTCTCTCTGTCTCTCTGCCTCTCTCTCTCTCTTCCTTCCTCTAAGTATGTGTGAGGATTTAAAAAAAAAAAGCAAAACATTTGAAGAGATGCCTCACAAACGAATGTACACGAATGGCCAAATGGGCACATCAAAATATACTCATTGTCACCAGACACTCTCAAAAGTCAAATTAAAAGAACAAGATACCACCATATGTCTGCTAGAATTTAAAAGACCGACAATAACAATATTGGTGGAGATAAGGAGCAACTAAAAGTTCCATACCATTGTTGGTAGTAATGTAAAACAGTACAACTAATTTGAAAACCAGTCTGGCAATTTCTTATAAAATTAAACACATAATTACTCTATGACTCAGCTAATTTCACAGCGAGGTATTTATCCAAGAGGTGGAAAAAAACTGGTAAGTGAATACTAATAGCAGCTTTATTCACAGCAATCGAAACCTGGAAACAACCTAATTGTCTATCAACCAATGAGTAAATAAACAATTTGTGGTATATCCATATATAGGAATATCACTCAGCATTATAAAAAATAAACTACTGATATAGGCAATAATATGGATAAATCTCAAAAGCATTATGTGTGAAAGAAACCAACATAAAAGAGTATATACTAGATGATTCTATGTATCTGAAATTCTAGAAAGGTGAAGTTGGGGAGATGGACAGCAAAGGGGGAGGGAACGTTTTAGTCTGATGAATGCTTTCTTCCTTGATTGCAGTGGTTGTGATTATACAGATATATGCTTTCGTCAAAGCTCATTGAATTCAACTCTTAAAATATGTATGTTTATATTATAGTAAATATTTCAATAAAGTTAATTTAAAGAAGAAATACAGATAACTTTTAAATATGAAAAATGCTCAATCTCACTATAAATAGATAAATTAAAATTATACTGAGACACTCATCTATCATTTGGTAATAATATAAAAGTTTGACACTGTATCAGCTGGTGAATCTTTTAGGACACTGGCTTTCTCATACATTGCTGATGGGAGAGGAAAATGGTATAATTTCCACTGAATAATATCTGGCAATATCTACTAAAATTACAAACGCACTATCCCAAACCCCGCAATCCCATTTCTATGACTCTATGCTACAGAAACACTTGCATATATATGCAAAGTACAAGAAACTACCCACGTGTCCGTCAAAGGGAGACTGGCTGAATAAATTATAGCACACCCACACAACAGAATGCTAGTCTGCTCTACAGAGTGAGGAAGATCTCTCTGTATGATATGAAGACTCTCCAGGATCATTTTAGTAAAAAAGAAAGAAAGAGACGAAGAAAGGAGAAAATCTGAATAAACATTCCAATTGCTTACATGTAAATAAATAAATACTACTAGAAGGGTAAATAAAAATGGTCACTAATTAATCAACTTGCTTTAAATTAGAGCAACAGTGGGGTCTTTGGGGAAGAATTTTGGTAAATGTTCTTTAAGTCCCACCTGGAAATACCTTCTTTTCTCCTTCTTTCCTTCCCTCCCTTTCTACAAATGAATTATTTACTTGCAAGGGGGTTTTGGAAGGCAGGAAGGATACTAGTTTTTTGGCTGAAATCAAGAGGTCCTGTGGCTAGTTTCCTCGATACCTAAAAAGTTGGGAATACGTGGCCCAGGGAGTTACAATAAAAACAAGCTCAGTGAATGAGATCCCTCGGTAACAAGGGATATCACTCAACTTAAGTATGTAAGAGGAAGGGCTGCCACAAAAAAGGAATCTAGATCCTTGACCTGAATGTTTGAAATAGCCCTATCTAAAACACATCAGCTCTTGCTACAATTTGATCATTGACCACTATGCTCACCACTTCAGAGGCTGATCATGCTGGAAAGACTAGACACTGTATACACTGGAGCCTAATGTATTATTAGTTCTCTACGATATTTTATTACGCTTAGTGTGGTTCCAATTACCCACTCTCCCACCATTGGTTGATTCTACAAACCAACTGCATTTTGATGATTAAAGATTCCCCCGATGCTTGCATCTTTGTAAAATTCTTCTTTTCTTTAAAGAAACGACCCATTATATTCTTCATAGTGGTTGTTCCCCATGGAAAAGAAGTGAACAGAATCACAGACTCTGTACCTCAATTTCTTCCTAAAATCTAATTGGCTGAGGAATAGAAAAAGACAAGCAATAAGAAGAGAGTAGCAGCCTGGATGATGTGGCTCAGTGGTTAAGTGTCAACCCATGAATCAGGAGGTCACAGTTCAATTCCCGGTCATGGCACATGCCTGGGTTGTGGGCTCAATCCCCAGTGAGGGGGGAAGAGGGGGTGAACAGGCGGCAGCCGATCAATGATTCTCATCATTAATATTTCTGTCTCTCCCTCTCCCTTCTTCTCTCTGAAAAATCAATACGAACATATTTTTAAAAATTGTGTATGCTCCAAAAGCCCTAATTAATAAATAAATAAATAAATAAATAAATAAATAAATAAATAGAAGAGAGTAGCAAATGAACAGCACCAATTATTCTGTATACTCTATAAAAATGTGACTCCCTAAAAATTAGAAATTGGAAAGAAGAGAACTTTAAAATACCTGTACTTTCTGTTCAGCACCCACAGTTTTCCAAGGGGAGTGGTTTCCAAGTTGCTTATTCTCTTGAGATTCACGAATCTCTCCTTTAAGCCTTTCAACCTTAAACACAAAAGTATTTTAAATACAAAAGTTGGAAGGGTGGGGAAGTTGCTTTGTTTTTAAAATATACAAATAATACATGAATACATTCTTCATGTAAAAATTCATACAACACATAAGTATATAGAATAAAAAGTGAGATTTTCCATCACATAACCTTACCCCAATAATCTTTCCCCTTTCCAGAAGTAACACGGTTTACAATATACTCTTCCTGAAATTGATCTCCCATGTATATATGTATACATATATATCAAATATATAATGTATATATTTGTATAAGATATATACCAGTATTAGATATATAAATTTACAGGCAACTTGAACAGTTTTATTCATTTTTTCTTATTACAGTTTTACATTATGATAAAATATACATAATATAAAATTTACCATGTTAACCATTTTTAAGTGTACAGTTCAGTAGCATTAAGTACATTCACATTATTGTGCATTCATCACCACCATCCATCTCCAGACACTAGAGATATGATTGTAAAACAAATATAAAATTGGAGGGATATATAATATACCCAGAACTTGGAAGTATATATTAAAAATCAATGAATTGCTAAGGAGAAATGGTTAAAAAATATAACACAACGGAGGGTGCAGTATTAATAATCTCAAACATATCCAGTATAATAGAATAATAATTTCTATTTGGTAAATGTATTAAGTATAAACTATTATCCAAATCCCTATGAAAAAGAAGAGATCCTAAATTGACACAATAGTAATAAGAATACTGTTTGGCGTAGGTAGTTAAGATGTATAAAAATACAAACACTGATAGAATGCAGCCAAGTCAAAATATGGCTTTTTCCAGGGATACTAGAACCACCAGTACCAGTCCACAATGACCAATAGGTGATGTGTATCTATGTTGCTCTATTGCTGATTGTTATTCTATTCACATTTAAATAAACTCTAAGAACAAACTAAACAACTTACCACTTCTCCAAGCACTTTTTTTTCTGAGTCAAGTGATCGAACCCGAGTTCTTAAAGCCAGAATTTCCTCATTCAGTCTCTGATTGTGTTCCTTTGCTTTCTTTAGGTCAACTGAATCTAAAACAGAGAGAAGAATGCACTCTACGCAACTGGAGCGAAGTTTTAATGTGAGGGTATGAACTCTAAAAACGGAGGAAGTGCTATTTCCTAACCTTGTCATGTCTCTGCCTGTGATCCTCTGCACAAGAGCTGCTAGACTCTAACGTCCAGCTCTAGAATATTCCACCAACCTAATGAAACAGAACAGAATGCTTTTTATTTCTCACCCCAAGACTAATGAATTGGACTTTTGAGTACAGGATTTCCAGCATTAGAGGTTTTTCTGGGACCTGGAATTTTAAGACAGTTGAGCCTACCTTGTAAAGGTTAAAGGACAGAAAATGATCTTCCTGGCTTCCTTGTAGTCCTGTCTCTCTTACACACCTAACAGACTTCTAGATACTTCTACTCATTAACAGCAAGTGCCCCATGGATGACTGAAGTAGTGAGCTAGGGACAGTGAATGAACAGATTTTCCATGTTAAAGCAAGTTAATTCATCGAAGCCATTTTTCTGCCTGTAGCTCCATTGCCATTAAAGTGGTAGTCTATTCTCAGCTTAGCACCTCATCTTACGACCTGCTCTTTCTGGCACTCATCAAAGTTTCATGAATACAAACTTGCTGACTGTAATTTTCCTGAATTTGTAGCTGTTTCTTTTTAGCCATTTTTCACTTCTGTTTCTCTTATTTTTCTTTTGCTGCTTTAAAGTCGGTGTTTTCCTTTTTCATTGCATGTTTTGTATTTAACTTGTATTAATTTTTCTTTCTTCATTTTTCTCCCTTGCTACATTCCTTTTTCCTCTTTAGCATATAAATTTTCAAAATTTGAAAAATGCTGAAAACATACCAAAAAGAAAACAAATCATTCACAATCCCTTTATATATAATATATATTCACAATTTGTAGATAGATAGATGATTGATAGATAGATAGATAGATAGATAGATAGATAGATAGATAGATAGAATATGCAAACAAGATTTGTTCTACCTTTGGCCTATGCAATTTTTGTTGTTGTTAATCCTCACCTGAGGATATTTTTTCCATTGGTTTTTAGAGAAAGTGGAAAGAGGGGAGTGGGAGGAAGAGAGAGAGAGACAGACAGACAGACAGACAGACAGATAGACAGAGGTAAGAGAGGTACATTGATTAGTTGCTCCTGGAGGAAATCCAACCCTCTACCCTTTGGTGCACAGGCTAACACTTTGACCACTAAGAAACACTGGCCAGGGACCAATAAACACATTTTAAATTATTTTTCTAGTTGCTTCCATTACAACACTCAAATTTCATTATATTATTTATAGCTGGTAGCATTTTTACATAGTCAAGTGAGGGTCAGATTAACTAAATCACCACTATGCCAAGTCTGTTGGCTTCTCAGTGAACAAGTATGTGTGAGGTGCTATTAAGTGCATTAGAAGGCATCTTGATCCCAGTTGTCCCAGTAAAATATGTATTATTTGTGTTTGCCACAGGTTTTGGAGTCAAGACATATCTGGGTTCAAATACCAGCTAAAATAATTAATGTATCTATTGGCTAATTCACTTAACCTCACCATGACTCAGCTTCTTTATCTATGAAATTGTAATAATAATTCTCACTACTTGAAACTGTTGTGAGGATTAGAGGTAATGCAGATAAAGTGCCTGGCAGAGTACCTGTGACTACTAAGCAACAAGTAGTAGTAATAGCAATAGTAGTTAAAATAGTAATAATAGCAGTAGTAGTGCTATTATTATTATTATCTTAAAACATTGTTATATTATTATGTAACGTATTATTAAATATTATATCTGCTAAAAAGACTCACCATTTTCTTTCAACTTTGTCAGATTTTCTTTCAGCTCGTCAATTTCTAGTTGAGCCTTTTCAAGTGCAGAATCTAAAAGAGAAAAAAAACCCAAAAAACAAAATACAGGATGGGGCAAAAGTAGGTTCACAGTTTTTCATATGGAAAATAATACAATATGCACTGTTTAAAATGCATTCTTGATTTTAATTCCACAGTCAATTTGACAGAATCATTATTATTTTATATATGTTCTGCCCAAGTAGAATGTACTTATAACCTGTTGATGCAATAATTCTACTCTTGGGTATATCACAGTTAAAATGTATAGGTAAGTACAAGAATATCCAGAGCAGCACTGTTCATAATAGACCACAACTGGAAACTACAGAAGTATTCAACAGTATAAAGGATAAATAAAATAAATTATTTTAACTTTAATAAACATTGAGTATGTTTATTCAATGAAATACTCTACAAACAGCAAGAGTGAACAAATGGCTGTAGGCAACAACATGGATGGATCTCACAAACATTAAGACTGAACAAGAGAAACAACTAAAGAATGTGTGGGGCCTTAGTCAAACTCAGAAATAGTGTTGCAAGTCACGATAGTAGTTACTTTGGGAGGAGAGAGGGTGTAGACATAGGGAGAAGAAACCAAGGCCCCTCTGGAGTGCTGAGGATTTCTTGCTGGGTGGTCTGCACTTAAGATTGTGCACTTCTGCCTTGGCTGGTTTGGCTCAGCGGATAGAGTGTTGGCCTGTGGACTGAAGGGTCCCAGGTTCGATTCCAGTCGGGGGCACATGCCTGGGTACGGGCTCGATCCCCAGTAGGGGGCGTTTAGGAGGCAACTGATCAATGATTTTCTCTCATCATTGATGTTTCTATCTCTCTCTCCTTCTCCCTTCCTCCCTAAAATCAATAAAATATATTTTTTAAAAAATTCCAAACTCTCTTCTAGACATTAAAAAAAAAAAGAGTGTACACTTCTTGGTAGGGATGTTATGCTTATGCTTTAATAACAATTTCTGGACACTGAAGAAAATGAGGCTTTTTATCAGATGTTTACATGTTTTTCTGAAAAAATTATTTTCTGAAGGCACTCATGTTCTACCCTGAGAAAAGATCATTACACTTAAAACACAGTCAGAAATGTTCTTCTGTAACCACAGCTTACCTAGTTTACTCTGTTCTTTCTCATTCCCTTGCAGTTCATCAGTGAGCCTTCGGATCTCTTCATGGACCATCCTTAACCTCTTTGCTATTTGTTCCACGTTTCTCTCTATGCAGTTTTGTGATGTTTTATCTTTTTCTATGTCTTCATTATGGGACTGAAATAAAAGTATTGTTAGTAATAAAACAAAAAGTAAATGTACTCTTATGACATTGTACTATTTCCCAGGTGTTCAAAAACCAAGAAATAAAAGTAGCAAACAGAATATTTCATGTATGTGCATCATTTTATTAGGTTGAACTATATAAAATTGGTGATATTTGGTTATTTTTGACCTATAAACATGCAATTTCATATGGCTCAATATAACATTTCTGAAAAATTTTGGTTATATGATTATTTTAAAGATAGATATTTAGGCCTGGCCAGGTGACTCAGTTGGTTGGAGCACTATCCCATACACCAAAAGGTTGTGGATTCAATTCCCGGTCAGAGCAATATCCAGGTTGCGGGTGGGATCCCCGGCCGGGGTGTATATGGGAGGCAACAGATCCATGTTTCTCTCTCAAATTGATGTCTCTTTCCCCCTTTCTTTCTCTCTAAAATCCATGAAAACATGTCCTTGGGTGAGGATTAATACACACACACACTTGATATTTAATCATTAAAATGAGTATCATCTGGCAAGAAAGAAACCGTTCTTCTCACTTATATGAACATTAAATACAGTTTGTAAAATGTTTTCACAGGAAGCATTTCACTGAATTTCAAGGTATGAACACACTGAACAAAGCTCAAATCATGTTTACAGCTCATTTTCTGCAATTATTTTCAAAGCATTATAAAAGCTAAGGAACAAATTCAATCTCAATTATATTTTGCTTTTAATCCCCAAAATATGCATTAATTTAAAATAAATATTATCACTATATGAATTTTTCTAAAAGATAAGAAAAAATTATCAGCTATAACAAAACCACTTTTAACATATTGGTATACTTCATTGAAGTGTTTTTTCTTCATATTCATTTAAAAAAATCTTTATTTTTGAGAGTATGACAGATGTCCCCTTGAAACTGAAATCCAGATAAATGCCCTTTGACCAGAATTAAACCCAGGACCCTTCAGTCCATGGGCTGATGCTCTATCCATTGAGCCAAGCTGGCTAGGGCATGACTTTTTCATTGACATTATGAGAAACATTTCCCACATTGTTGAACAGATTTTGTAATGATAATTTTAAAAAGCCTGTGTAATGTCCCAGAGTGGGCATAACATAATTCATCACTAAACATTTTGGTAGTTTCCAATTTTTGCTATTGAAAATAATACTATGACATACCCTTTTATCCATATATATTTTTCTTTATCTTGGGTTAAATTCCCAGTATGTACTTTATTCACTGGATTTAGCTTTTTAAATTAATTTCAGAGAAGAAGGGAGAGGGAGAGAGAAATAGAAACATCAATGATGAGAGAGAATCATTCATTGGCTGCCTCCTGCATGCCCCTCCACTTGGGATCGAGCCCACAACCTGGACATGTGCCCTGATCAGAAATGGAACCCTAACCTCCCGGTCGATAGGTCGATGCTCAAGCACTGAGCCACGCCGATCAGGCTGGATTTAGCTCTTAATAACATTTCCCCAGATCAAAAAATTTAATTCCATGAGAAGAACTTATTATATTTAAAATGATGTGCTTTACATTTTAAAGGACTCCTCAAAAGAGGAGCTCCATTCATATTTGGAAAGAAGTATGCATTGTCTCTAATGTGATTTTTCAAAGGATATAATACACATTGATTAAATTTTGATACATTCGAAACAAATCAGCTATGTGTTAAATGGGTAATTGATTTTCCTTCTTCCTAAATTTTTGTGATACTTTTATGCACAATCTGATCATTTTTGCAGCATCATTACATACATTTAAATATATTCAAACAAAATACTTCCAAGGTAGAGTTAACTTGCAATTGGGTGGTACGATTAAATATTGCCCCTTATTCGGTTATCTAGTTAATTTTGGAATACCTGGGCAAATTCTTTCAGTAGGTTACTGCTCATACATCTTTGTGACTCTGGCTTTGAGTCCCCGTCCCCACGTTCCAATTTACTCAGGATTTTACTTCTGTCCACCAGTAAGTATGCAATCTGTTCACTGGGGCTGCTCAGAGCTATTTCAGAGTCTTCTTGATACAACATTTCTCCAACCTCCTTTCTTTGTGCTTCTATTAGGAAGAAATAACAGAAACAAACTGTTAAAAGAAATGCAGGTAAATAACTACTCTATAAGAGGTTAAATGAGTTCTTAATTAGATATCACATTAATTTAAAAAGTAAGCAACACTGATACTATTACGCTTCTGTCCATCTCTCCAGGGTGTTTGCAAACTTTCAAAATTATAACAAAAAAGTAGTGAGAAAAGTTCTCAAAAGCAGTAAATAGTCTTACTAGTATAACTTAAAAATTTTTTCTTGAGTAACTTTAAAATTTGTTTGTTGAGTGCTTATGATGTGACAGGTGTTGTACTAATGTCTGAGATAAATTTATCTCATTTAATACTTACTACAACCCAATGATGTAGGAACCAGGATTATTGTTTTATGAGAGGAGAACTCAGGCACCAAGAAACTAAGTAACTTTTCCAAGGTGACTCAACTAATCTTGCCAAAATTCTTGGTAACTTCAATATTCAGGTAGATGATCATTCTAGTGTCCTGCCTTTTCACTCCTTTCACCAGTTTTTTAAAAAATATATTTTTATTGATTTCAGAGTGGAAAGGAGAGGGAGGAGATAGAAACATCACTGATGAGAGAGAATCATTGATCGGCTGCCTCCTGCATGTCCCACACTGGGGATCGAGCCCACAACCCAGTTATGTGCCCTGACCTAGAATTGAACCATGACCTCCTGATTTATAGATCAACGCTCAACCACTGATCCACACAGGCCAGGCTCACCAGCTAACGTCTAAAGATCTAGAACTCTATCCTATCTCAGCTATCTACTCTGTAGTAACTCCCTAGACCTTGTATTTAGCAATAACTATAGCCTCTCCCTAGTCTTAAATGCAAGCATCCTATTCTCTAATTATTCCTTCTAGTAGCATGATTTCAACAAGTTTTCAACCATACTGGGAACTATAATCCATTGACTTTAAATGCTTTTCAATGTTCCTTACCCTGCTCCTGTTCTCATTCAGTTTCTTACCCAGCTTAGGTTCTTATTATCCATCATTATAATCACTTCCTTGAAAACATTCACAACTCTCTTACCCCGTTTCCTTCCATTAGACATGATTGGTAAAACTCCAATCTGTTTAAATACAACTTTCCACCTCTTTTGCACCTTACTGCAGATGCAGAATGTGGCTGGACAAAACTGCACAGCCAGTGCTCATTGATTTTACTTTGAATTCATATCTATTGACCTCAAGTGAGCTCATACTGCTGACTAGCAATCCTCCTGCATTTCCCTAGTCTGTCTGTCTCTCTCTCTCTCTCTCATTCTCTAGAGACCTAGGCCATTATTTCATTCCTTTCTCTCCCCAAATCTCCTTCCCCATCCCAAATCCCTGCCTCTTATTTCACTGAGAAAAGAGAAGCACTCCGAAGAGAACATCCACAAGCCCCTCTGACCAAATCTGCCAACTCCCACACACTCTCCCCTATTGTGAGGTTGAATGGACCTATCCTGGCTCCTGAGGCCAGTCCTTTCCCTTGCACAGTGGATCCCACTCCCTCTTATCTCAAAAATACTAATCTTGCAATTGACTCATCAAACTTTCTTTCCATCAAAGCATTATAATAATCTCAGAGACATGCTATATCTCCCATTACAAACAACAATCAGTATAATTGGAAAGAAAAGCACCTTTCTTCAATCTCATGGCCCCCTCCAGCTTCTGTACTATTTCTTCATCCTCCTTTACAGCACAACTTCAAGAAAAAAAATCAATCACACCCGTGTTCCCTCCTTCTCTCCTACCACTCCAATCAGGCTTTCATATCCACCACTCCACAGAAACAGCTCTCATCAAAGTCACTAATGACCTCTATGTGACCAACTCCAATGGCCCATTATGTGCCCTCATTCCACCTAGCCCTGTGGTTGGCAAACTGCGGCTCGCGAGCCACATGCGGCTCTTTGGCCCCTTGAGCGTGGCTCTTCCTAAGCCTTAGGAGTACCCTAATTAAGTTAATAACAATGTACCTACCTATATAGTTTACGTTTAAAAAATTTGGCTCTCAAAGGAAATTTCAATCGTTGTACTGTTGATATTTGGCTCTGTTGACTAATGAGTTTGCCGACCACTGTCCTAGGTTATCTCCTATAGTCTCAAGGCTGTAAGTATTCGCTATATGCTGATGACTCCCAAATTTACATCTCGATTGAGCTGCATTGCAAATACATACATAATTGCCTACTTGACACTTCCACTTGGATGTTTAATATAGACCTCAAAATGTACATGACCAAAAGCAAAGTCATTACTGTCTCCCCCAACTAGGACGTCTACTGCTCAATCCTAAAAGCTTTGGGTCAACAGTGACTTCTTTGCTTTTCTCCCATCCAACATTAAATCCATTATCAAATCATGTTATCTCTACCTTCAAAAGATAATCCTTTAATTATATAAGCATTTCTGATGTGCCCGACATATGTGTTCCTAAAAAGAAAAACTTGTATTTTGCAAAATTGCTCACTAAAAATAATAAAGCTTATTAAAAAAAAACAGATTCTATAGACCACTCACAACCTTTGTCATTGTGTAACTGGAGTGCTATAAAAGACATTAACAATCCTAATAATTATACTGGTACATATAAAGAGATATGTCAAATCCCTAAAAAATAAGGGAATACTATAGTAAATATGGAACTCTGTGTTTTGTTTTGTTTTAAAATCACGCCTGCTGTAAAGCTGAGCTAAAGGAGGATTTGAGTCTGCAGAGTTATGGACACGAAGTCAGAATGCACAAAGATTAGGGGTATCTTTGCAATGAGCACTTCCAAGGCAAACACGTGGCCAAACTGAGCCCAGAAGAATGTGGGATGAATGGACTTTAGGTACAAACTTCAATGGTTGCTGGTAGCCCAAATCATTAACATGCTGGAGAAAATTGTACATAAAACTCCACATTACAGTAATGTCATTCCTCTATTTAGCAATCCTTCATGAGCTAATTTATGCTGGAAGCAGGACATACAGTATTTTCTATTTTGTGGAGTGAGCCCTGAACAACCCTCCTGCTGAGAGTAACCACAAATGTTGGAAGAGGAGAAGTAGGTTTGAAAGTTTAAACTCCCACTTCTCCATTTTCTGGCCACTAAATAAAGCCTGTGCTGTAAACAGTCAAAATGATGATGATGATGATGATGATGATGATGATAATGTTGGAAGAAATTAAAGAAAACTCTTAAAATGCAACCACTATATGAACAAATAGAATGCAGACTTTTAAACTAGCAGGAGAAAACTCAATACATCCAATGGATAACAAGAAAGAAAAAACAAACAAACAAAACAAGAGTGTGGAAATATGTCCTATGATTAACTCAACCTTCCCTGCACTTGAGCTTCTCGATAAAGGAAAAACTTGTCCATCAACTTCATAAAAGGAAATTCTAAAGAGGAAAAAAGGAAAATGATTCCAAATGGAATATCTGAGATGCAAGGAAAAATGCTGAACAAAGAAAATAAGAAATGTGTGGTAAATATAATCATTGACCACATACAATGGTATTAATTTGTGGAGCTAAACAAAGTAGAATAATAATATACATGGTCCTATCTGTATTTTCCCTTATAGCTTTAAAGTACTTATACTAAATATTTCCTGAATCCTTAAAATGCTAGCTACTTTAAAAGGCAGGTACTGTGGGTAACACAGAAACCACTGAGACTGGGACATAATCTCTGCCCCAGAGGAGCTGACACAGGTCATTATCACACAGTGTGGTAAGTACCATAATAGATGTTGAAGCAAATAACCATTCTGCACTCTCTCACAGACATTTTAGAATATTTCGGAATACATACTTTAAAAAGTCATGCAGAAAATACATCTAAAACATTACAAGTACTTTTGGAATGTGGACAACATACAGTATTTTCCTCCTTCCTTCTACTTTTATACATTTCCCAAATTTTCTAATGTCACATTAATTTTTAGAATTAAAAAATTAAAATTACATTTTTACAAAAAGAGAAATTACCTTGTTTGAATTGGAGCTCTTTAAACTCATGTATAAGATGTTTGTTTTCCTTTTCATAACCATGAGAAAATGCTTCTCTTTCCTCTGGTAAGTTACAGACATAGTTTGCATCATTTCCCACCTAAAAAGAAAATAATACACTTTCTTACTCTTAGTCCATGGTTCATATTTTAACTCATATTAAAAGTCTATTAAGCCAAAAAGCCATTAAGAGATCACCATACTATTGTGTCTACAATCTGAGAAATATATATATTTTTTGTTAATCCTTACCTGAGGATATTTTTTCCATTGATTTTTAGAGAGAGTGGAAGGGAGGGGGAGAAAGAGAGAGAGACACATTGATTGGTTGCCTCCCGTACATGCCCCGACTGGGGCTGGGTATAGAACCTGCAACCCAGGTACCTGTCTTTGACCAGGAATCGAACTTGTGACCCTTCTGTGCACAGGGTGATAATCTAACCACTGAGCAACACTGGCCAGGCTACCATCTGAGAAATAAACAGAAAACTCAGCTCACCTTAAATGTGGGTTATCAGACACCATTTCCCATAGGTATGATGACACATAATCACAAATTTTATGAGACAGTCACTGTCTCTAATATTTTTCCCATTAATATATAAGGCTTCAAATCAAATATTCTTATCTATGGTTTAGGAAACATGGTCATGATACCATGCAGTGAAAATCTACATAAATATGTATACACTCCTATACTAAAATTAAGATGCCTGAAATGTTAATAGGAGATTCTATTAAAATAAATTGTTGGGTATTACTTAAAAATAGTTTCTGGTTAATATGGCAGCTTCACAAAAGGTACTATATAGCTAATAATAACAGATTGAGAGCTAACTATGTGCTCCAGGCACAAATGTGTTAAGGACATCAAATACAGGGCAAAAGGAGGTTTACAGTTGTGAGTATGGGAAACACAGAGTTTATTCTTGTATTATTATTGATTATATTATTTTTCATACGAACTGAAAACCTACTTTTACCCCACCCTGTACTTAATTTTTACCACAATCCTATGGAACTATAAAGCAGGTTGAGAGAGGCTAAGGAATAAGGAGAAGAGCTAGGCTGCACACTCAGGTGGGCCAGAACCAGAGACAGGGCCCTTACCTGGTGCCAAAATGCTTAGAAGTAGACTACCAAAATAAGGGAATTGCATTTTGCTCAATTGTTTTGAAGCCTATCAAACAACTCTTCAGAATATGAATAAAAAGCTGAATAATATAGAAGGAAAACAGGATTGCAGTCTAGCTTTAGGTAAGTTTCTTTCTCTTTAAAATGGCAGTAAGAGCAATAACCTATTTCCTAATAATAATAGCTACAATTTATGTAATACTTGTTAGGTGACAAGTCGGTGTGTGAAAGGTTTATTCACATTCCCTTGGGTAAACCTCACAAATCCCTTTGAACAAACTATTATCATTTTCCAGGCTCAAAGATGTCAGTTACTTGCCCAGGGTTACACAGCGAGACAGTGGTAAGGGCAATTTTTCACCCCTGTCTGCCTCATGCTAAAGTTCCTGGTCTAATAAGCTCTACTGCTTTTGTTCTGAAAGAGCTGCATTCCTCTTTAAGAGTTTGGAAATCACATTGCCCTCTAAGAGTTAAATTTAAAAATCAACAAGTTTCCTATCAGAACTGAGATGTGGAGACACTGCAGAGTGATGAATCCCGAGCAACCTGAGAGAATTAACTCATTTAAAGAAAGAATATGTCAGAAAGTAAGTTGATCAGCCTTAGCTGGTTTGGCTCAGTGGATAGAGCCTGCAGACTGAAGGGTCCTGGGTTCGAATCCGGTCAACGGCATATGCCCAGAAGTGGGTGTGCCGGAGGCAGCTGATTCTCTCTCATCATTGATGTTTCTATTTCTCATCCCTCTCCCTTCCCTCTGAAACCAATAAAAATATATTTTTAAAAAAAAGATTGATCAGGAAACATCAAATAGTGATGAGAGTCAAAATATATTATTATTGACTCATCTAAGGGCTAGGTAACCTGGTTCTAGGATATAACAGGTCTAGAAATAAGGGCAGGTATACATAGTCCTATTGTATAAATATGACTATCTTAGCTGGTACTAAGATAGAACCATTTTAGAACCATTTGTTCATCAAGTAAACATATGATTAAAATTTGCCTCCCTGTCCTATGTAGTGTGCTTGTAGGGAGTGAATCCATCAAGCCATAGGACATATGTGACTGGTTCCTCTGGCAATTATACTTTTTATTGTAAAAAGCTGGTTTCCATTTTTCTGAACACTTCTCTGTGAGTTTAGTTAACACAAGAGTGCCTTAGAGAAGCAGAGCCACTTAGGTTTCTAAGCCAACAAGCAAGAGAGTCAGCTAGAGGGTCAGTTATTGAGACAAGGAGGAATTTACCAAGATAATGAAAGCCACCACGAGCAGGCCTATTTGGATAGTCAACCAGGCATCTCTGGGCAACATCTTGTACATGTCCTCTACTGGAAATCAATACAGATTGTTGAAACATTTCATTTAAAAATGTATAGGTGAGTGCTTTGCAAACTATACAGTGATATTCAATTGTTGGTTTTTAATGTGTTAATTTAATGGACAAAGAAAAAAAACATAGGTATTTAAAATTTTTTGTTATTAGCTCTTACTTGTTTCAATTTTTCCATGTTTCTCACTGAAAGTTCTTCTAGATTTCTGGAAGTAGTCCTCAGCATGTCTTCACTGTGCTGGAATAGGTACTAGATAAGGTAGAGTAGTTCTCCTGTAGTAGCATGAGGTTCAATTCTTTCTTTCTCAAGAAGATGAAGTATGTCTAATTGAACTTTTCCCTTGATAGATGAGAGAGGCATATGTGTATGCACACACACACATACACACGCTACATGGAACTGAGCATGCAAGAAATCAGATATGTATATACTGGGGTAGGCAAAGTAGGTTAATAATAATAAATAATACAATAACTAATAACACAAGAATAAACTATCTCACATACTCACAAATGTAAACCTACTTTTGCCCTACCAAAATAACTGAACTGTATTTTGCTGAATTGTTTAGACTCTACAAAGATGTTTTCCTATTAATTGTTATGTTACCCAGTTATGTGCACTTACATGAAATAGCTAACACCCAAAAAGTCAAAGCTTTCAACAGCTGCTTATCTTCTAAAATAATAAATGACATGACATATATAATGCAAATGTATGATAGTATCTTTAAAAATACAAGCTTTTCTGTCTGCTCAGTTCTGAAGTTTGCAATTTAATAATCTGAAAATCTCCCAAAGATCCTTTGCAATGTTATAAATACCAAAGTATTGTTCCCTGTAGTGAATTTTTTTTCAAACATCTTCACCTGAAGGTATGTTTTTCACTGATTCTAGAGAGAGAAGAAGAGAGAAGTTAAGAGAGAGAAAACACTGATGTGAAAAAATCAATCTGTCCCGGGATCAAACCCACAACCTGGGTATGTGCCCTGACTGGGAATCAAACTAGTGACCCTATGGTGCATGCGATGACGCTTTAACTAACTTACCCATACCAGTCAGGGCTCCTCTAGTGAATATCCTATCTAATAAAGAGGGAATATGCTAATTGACCCTAACGCTGTTGCAAAAGATGGCAATGCCCACAGCCAATAAGGAGGGAATATGCTAATTGACTGCCACACCCTCAAAGATGGCGGTGCCCAGTTGTGGGCAATCAGGCCAGCAGGGGAGGGCAGTTAGGGGTGACTGAGCCAGCAGAGGAGGGCAGTTGGGGGCAACTGGGCTGGTAGGAGAGGGCAGTTAGGGGTGACCGGGTCAGCAGGGAAGGGCTGTTGGGGGCAATCAGGCTGGCAGGGGAGCAGTCAGGCATCAATCAGGCTGGCAGGGGAGTGGTTAGCTGTGATCAGGCTATCAGGCAGGTGAATGGTTGGGAGCCAGCAGTCCCAGATTGTGAGAGGGATGTCCGACTTCCGGTTTAGACCCGATCCTGCAGGGACATCCCCCGAGGGGTCCCAGATTGGAGAGGGTGCAGGCTGGGCTGAGGGACACCCCGTCCCCCGTACATGAATTTTGTACACCGGGCCTCTAGTTTAGAAATAAAAGGACTCCTCTGGAAGCTACAGAGCCCATTTATTCTATACTATCAGTGAATCATTTTGCTCACATAATATGTCTTATCATTTTTGTTGACTTCTAAGTCATTCTGTGCTCTTCTAAAACTTCTTACTCTAAGCCTGCCATCAATATTGTCTTTAATTTTTTTTTTAAGTTGAAAGCAGTCATGCTACATGACAGCTTGCACTACATGGTGGTGTAAAAGTTAAATATCTGCTGATTGATGAAGTGGTATTTGTGTTACTAGGACCACATAAATTAACCATTCTTAAGTGTACAATTCAATGGCATTATTGGTAAGTACATTCACAATGTTGTAAAACCATTGTTGCTATCCATTTTCCAAACTTTTTTATTATCCCAAACATTTATTCTATACCCATTAAACAATAGGTCCCCATTTCTCTCTTCCCCCAGCCCCTGGTAACCTCTAGCCTACGGTCTGTCTCTACAAATATACCTAAGCTAGGTACCCCATATAGGTGGAGTCATACATTTGTCCTTTTGTTTCTGGCTTATTTCACTTAGCAAAATGTCTTCAAGATTTATCCGTTTTATAGCATCTATCAGAATTCCCTTCCTTTTTAAGGCTGATTAAGATTTCATCCTATATATTTTGTTTATCCATTCATCTGTTGATAGATATTTGGGTTATTTCTACCTTTCGACTATTGTGCATAATACTACTATGAACACTGGTGTACAAGTACCTGTTCAAGTCCCTGCTTTCAATTGTTTTGGATAGATACCTAAGAATAGATATGCAGAACCGCTGGACATATAATTCTATGTTTAACCTTTTGAGGACCTGCCATAAAAATATACATAATAGCCACATTAATAGATGTGAAGTGGCTACTCTATGGAACTATAATTAATACAATTCCTGGGAGGCCTCTAGTTCCTGGACCATGACATTCTCTCTCAGACTACCAGATACTCTCTGGTTTTCCCCCTCAAACTATTGTTCATTTCAATCAATCTCTCACCAATGACTCCAATTATCTAGCTCCTTATCCCATCTTCCTTGAAAATCCCAACCCTGGAAAAATTCAACCATTTGACTATTCTTTATCTATTTTAGTTTGCTGAGTGCTAACAGAAAAACAAACAAACATGCAGACTGGAGCCACTCCAAATTCATGGTCTGCAGCCTGAGTCAAGCTTCTCTACTTGCATCTATGTATTTTTTACCAGCTTCTGCAACCATTTTACTTCGCAACTATTCAGAACTTTGACCTCTCCACTCTTTCAAAAGATGACCTCATCTCCCACACTAGTAAAACTCAGGTCACCATAAACTCTGTCAGCTTCTTCCACTATCACCAACATAACCTTCATCTTTAGACACTACCCCCTTTCCCTTTTCCAGTGGAAGAGTTTTCCATCCTCCTGACCTAAGCTAATCACTTTACCTGTGCTCTAGAGCCCACCCCATGTTACTTCAAGGGAGTCTTTTCTGTATGCTCATTATCTCGCTTTCTACTGTCTTGCCATTACCTCAAGATGTCTCTGATCTCAAAAATAAAGATGCAAAAATAACCCTCCTTTGATCCCAACACATTCCCCTCAAGCTATTGTCCTTTCTAATTTCCTCCACACCTCAAATCACAGCATTTTGGCTTCTGCTCTTACTACTGTACTCAAAATCGGTCAACAATGACTCAAAATGCCAGATCCAACTGGACATGTTTCTGTTTTTTTTTATATATGATCTCTCTATATCTGTTCACTCCTGTTTTGAAAGTAATTCCTTTCCCTGTTCTGTGATGTCACTTCCTCTTGTTTTTACTCTTATCTCTCCAGGCTTTCTTTGTCTGTGTTCATCTGGGCCCCTCTTCTTCCATAGACCCTTCAAATGCGGCCATTTCTAAAAACCCTGCCTATGGATCTCTGATCTTCTCACTATCATGATTAATAGCTTGGGCATGGAAATCTGACATACCTTGGTTCAAACCCTAGCTCTACCACTTTCTAGCTGTGTGATTTATACAAGTAATCTAATTTCTTTACATTTTGATTTCCCTAAAAAAATGGATATAATAGTAATAACTAAGTCACTGGCCTGTTAAGAGGATTACATAATCCATCTCTGCTAAGCTCCAGATCTATCTAGAAAAAGTGGCAAGAAACAGAAACACACTGAAGTTAGAACAAATACAAGTGCATGTGGCAGAGACTGCCAGCTGACCTTCAATATTTATTCATCCCCTTTCCCACAAAGACATATAATTTTCTGTCCAATCACACAGCTGCCTGCCTTACTCTTAGATACAGCCTTATAACTAAATTCTGACCAATGAGATGTAAATATAGTTGTGTGACACCTCTAGGAGTGTACTTAAAGGAACAGGATACCCTCTTTCTCACTCCTTCCTCCTTTCTACTGGCTGGAATGCAGACAAGATGCTTGAAGCTTGAGCAGCCATCCTGAACACCATGAGGGAAGCCACATGCCCCGGATGAAACACTATCATGAGAGAAGAAATCTGAATCTTGAACTATTCCAAGATGCTGTCCTATCAGCTCTGGACTGCTCTCTTCTTGACTTTTATGTGAGAGAAATAAATTTCTACCTTTTAAAAGTCATCATTATTTTTTATCTTTCTGTCCTTCACAGCCAACCAATCTCAACTACCGAAGAATAAGATACAAGGGCACATGCTGCAAACTAAACATGGCTACATTGGAACTGGATATGGAACTGGACAGACATTACTAGTCTATCTTGATCTATGAGGTCCTTCATCTCTGAGTCTTTCTGTGAACCAGCCTTATTAAATTGCTTCTCTATAAGGCTGGATTTTCTCTGCTTGCTCCTCTGCAACAATGAAAACAGCCATTCAGATCCTAAATCTATGTGACTTTTCAGATTGTCATTTCCATTCTTTTTCTCTTAGTTCAAATTTATGAAAAAGAGAAAATTATTAGTTGCTCACCCAATGAATTTGTGACCCCCTCTCTGAAGTTAGCTGCATAATCCTCAGTCAGTTGTGGCTGGAAAGGGTTGGAAGTAGTAGTACAAATCCTTGCCACAAAGCAAGGATTCGTGGAGAGGTACAAGTTTCAGAAGGAGAATGCAGGCTAGGAAAGCAATATAAAATTAGTCAACTATTTAAGACCAATGCATATCCATTGTCTAGAGAACAACTCAGTTTGAATAATCCATTCTTTCTCTTACACCTGTTCCTCCTTCTACTTTCCATAGTTAATAAAACCACCATCAGCTTGGTTTCCAAAGCCAGAAATTCTTGGTCCCTCCTGCTTATTTATTTATATCACTCTCATGTACAGCCAGTCCCTGAATTTGTAGATTTAATCTCTTTTTATCATCTTCTAATTCATCCTCTCCATGTCTACAATTGCTGTCTTCATTTAGGCTCTCCTCACTATTTGCCCAGTTTGGTGTAATAGCATCCTTAACTGATTTCCCTGTTGCCAGGCTGGCTCCCATCCAATCTGTATTCCACAGAGCTCTCAGACTGATCTTTCTGAATGCAAGTCACTTGCTGCTTAACATTCCCTTTGCTTTCAGGAAGATTCAAACCCCTTAACTTGGCACCAAAGATTCTTCACAATCTGACTCCTGCCTGTCTCTCCAGTCTTATCTTCTGCCACAGGTGACATTAGCTCCTCATGCAGTATACTTATGGATCCCCATCATGCTGATTATGTTCCCAGGACTCTGAATATTTGCATACCTTTGACTGTTCTGCTATGACATCTCAGAACTAATATTTTTTCCAGTGGACTTATTGAGGCCCAATGGTTGAGTAAATGGAAAATCCTAAAAAATCAGACCTTGAGGTAATACAAATTCAGTCTTTGAATTATAAATGCTCTGACATTTAAACTGTGTCTAAAATTGCCCACGTAACAAAGTATGCAAATATACTATTCTCTTACAAAGTAGATACTGAATAAGTGCTCATTAAGTATCTTAAAAGTCCACTCTTTGAAAAGAAGCACATCCTATAGTGTTTGGGGGCATTCAGAAACTTCTAGATGTAAAGAATGAGGTGCTAAAGCTGTCAAAGAAAACTGAGACAGAATTTTAAGTGAGAAGAGAGCAAGGAGAATGGGTGAAGAGTCGTTCCTACTTGTTCTTATTTCTCCTATAGCAGGTGCCTCCAGAAGCCAGGACCATACTTCATACTACAACGCATCTCTTGGCTTTGAGCAAAGGATGAGCTTTGGTCTTTTGAGTGGCACAGAGAACAAAGTAAATAGCATGGCCACAAAGAAGGGAAATATCCAGTCAGGTTATTCACCCTAATCCTTCTTTCTCTCTTCTACACAAATATATTTTAAAAATGTAAAGACATCTTACAGACTATATATAATACACAGTCTTTTCCTTTTCAATTCTCAAATAAATGAGAAAAATAATGTTTTAAAGTAAAAAACAATGTATCAATGCTTAAAATATAAAATTAAGCAAAAAATTAAGGCATAATGCACACTATACTAATAACTATGTAAAAATGTACATGCGTGAGCAAGGGCCGACATAACAAAAAATGAACTGCTGACATGTTAGGACAGGGTTTCTCAGCCTTGGCACTACTCACATCTTGGGCTGGCTAATTCTTTATTGTGCGGGATGTGTCGCAGCATCCTTGTCCTCTATCAACTAGGTCCCAGTAGCATATCTCCAGTTGTGACAACTACAAATGTCTCTTTATGTTACCAAATGTCTCCTGGGAGGAAAAACTGCCCTACAAGTTCGGAACTACTGTACTAGGGTGAGAGAAAAAAATTTTAATTATGTTTACATGGCCATAATGATATTTGTCCAGTATATACATATTGGATGGGGAAAGGAAAGCTCCTTATAATACAATATCTAACAGCCCTTTTTTTTCAAGAGTCAGAATTTATTCAGTTCTCATTTAATGCAAAAAAATGAAGAGGCTACAGAACTTGTTTTTCTTTTCCAATCTATTATTGAAGAGAAAGCTGAATTTCTCAGTCAGTATTTGGAAACCTGACCTGGCATCAAGCATGAGATATCACAAATAACTGCTGTAATCGGCCTGAGAAATAAAAATATCCAAACCATTCTAGCCCCAAAATACCTGTTAAAAATGTACACTTTACATATCTTCAAAATAGGTTTACATTTTTAATCTGACTGCCAAAGAAATGGTAAGACTCGATAAGGAACACATACTTTAAGACAAAGTTTTCCAAGGTAAAACACAAATGCATTGGATATAAATGAATCTTATTCTATTTTTAAGGCCTTCTGTTCCAGTCTTTTTAGGATTATTAAGTCTGCCTCTTGCCAAAAATATTTATTTTCAATCATTCCTCCTCATTGTTTTTGTTTCTTGGCTCACCTCACAAAGAATGTTTTCTGATCAAGAAACTGACATGAAGAGGAGCCATAAGAACTGTTTCAAGCATCTTCTTTTGAAAAATTCTATCATATCGAGGTGTTGGGTTCATATGGCTTAAAGTTGGAATCCTGTTACATGATCATTCTGAATGATCTTGTCACATGCATGAATACATCACTAAAATATATGCCCAATGAAGCATTCACTTAAACAAGAAACAATCTTTCTTTATATAAGTCTGAGATGGACCCCAAACTGCATTTTGATTTTTCCCTCTCCATTTTCAAAACACACTAGGCTTGTAGTAATTACTATTTGTATTGACCAATGTGCGCTTCTAGTCTCTAGTTTACCCAAGACAAAAAGCTTTCCATAGTGAAACAGAGAAAATCTTCCAAATGATTCCTGGGCTGGAGAACGTGAAATATTTAGCTACCCAAAGTACTATGGCAGACAAACAGGAGAGGGTCTGCAGATGACAGAGGTGGTGGAGATGAATGGGCACGCAGTGAGGTGCAGCGTGGACAAGAAAGGGTGAAAATGGCCATGGAAGGAGCAGGATGAGAAAACTGGCGCTCAGGGTGATGAGAGAAGTAGATGAGATTGTAGCTTGAAAGGCAGAAGGTTAACTGACTTGATGATGTCTGATGTTGAGGATACAAAAGGCCTCCAGAGCTCCAGCGGGAATTAAGGTTCTGCGTGGCGAACACAGGGCAACAAAGTAGAAAACGGCAGTTCTTTGTTCACAACCCGGGAAAGCCGTGGCTCGGTGGACTTTGTTAATAAATGGCCGCGAGCTTCAGAATCTTTGCCTGAAAAGTGAGAAATGGAACGCCTACCTAACTGGGGGTGTTCTAACCCTCTCTAAATAAGAGCGGCACCCTAATTCTAAGTGCCCGTGGCTTTTGGGTCCCAGAGACTCAAGAATCCTAAGACAGAATCACTCAAGCCCATGGCTAGAAAGGCCAAGCCAGGGAGAGGCTTTGCTCCTGTAGTTTCGAGCGATACTGGGGAGAGAGGCGGGAAAGACCTGGCGTGGTGGAAAAGAGCGGAGGACAGGTGCTTTCCTCCTCGGGGCTGCGGCGGGAACCTCAGAAAGCAGGCCAGGAATTGTCTTCTGACGGTGCGTTGAGGGTCCCGGGTCGTTTCGCTCCACAGACGCTCCGCAACGAGGGGCAGGTGCCTTCAGTCCCGGGCGTCATAGCAACCGCGCCAGCCGCAGAGACGCCAAGGCGTTCTTCCGGCGGGAACTATAGAGACGACGCGCTCCATTGGCTGAGGGGCTGTTCTTCCTACGGAGACCAGCGTTACGGTGCACACCATTGGCCTTTAGGTCGCGGGGCGGGACTTTTCTGGCAGGAACGGTGGTATGGCTCTTTGCTTAGGCTTCGTAGTAACCATGGTAACGTCATGGTGCACGTTAGCAACTTAAAGGATACTTTTTGTCACCAGGCATTTATAGTTCTCAAACAGCTTCTCTCCAGGCCTTATCTAGAGCCCCGGCATAATTACCTTGGATTTATTTTTCTAGAAGTAACTTCATTCTTAAAAGGGAGAGGGTGCTACGCCAGGAGTCATGAATTTTAGGCCTAGATCTGTAACTAACTACCTGGGGCACCTAAAACAAATCACATTTTGGAGCCGACTTATTGTCAAAATGAAGACACCGAAAAAAAAAATCCTAAGCACTGAAATTCGGTTTAGGTAACCCATTCCTCCACCTATGTAATGCAAAATAAAAATTTCTAAATGACATAAAACTTAACACAAGCTCAATTTATATCATTTTTATTTAAATGCTTTTATTGTAAGATTCCAGTTAGTTAAAGCTCTATTTTATTCACGTTTACAGGGCTTTTCTGGTATCCCAAACACGTACTTACATTTTTTAATCTTATTCTGGTTTCCCATAGGATCCTTTCCAAAGCTCTGCCGGTTCTACATGCATTATCAGGACGGATTTTATCCCTTACTTTCTAGAACTGCTTCAACCTCTACCTCTGGCACCAGAGCCCTTAGATTCTAAGGCTTAGAAGTTCTTTTCTCTCACCTAAAATGCTCACCACCATCACCTCAAGCCCACTTAGATTCTATATCAGTTCAAGCGTCACTTCCTCAAGGAAGCATTCCTTGGTTCTCCAGTCTAGATCACATTCTTTCTCATTTTCTCACTGAGAAATCATGTTCCTTTTCATTATTTCTTTCTTTTGCTCACTTCCATTTGCTATTGGTATTTTTCCCCCCAAACACTTAGAATTTTAACATGTGTAAATACTGTTTAAGTGTTTGGAATGGAGACTAAACAGAATTACAAAACACTTTAAATAACTCCATGGAGAGAAGTGGTGGTTGTTTCAAGCATAAACAAGATAGGAAATGGTTTCCAAGAGAAGTAATCATTAAGATAAAAACATTAAGATTACTTCTAGTTTTAATTCCATTTATTCTCATTGTATATACAAAGATGATGACAGCCATCATCCGAATAAAGCTATAGATGTAGGGAAGAAAATCAATCTTTTACTTCCTATCACTTCAGTATTGCAGCCATTGCTGACAGAACTATTGCTTTTAAGGTTTTGCCCATTGGACCTAAAGTTAATGAAAAAATTTTGTTCAATGGGACTGCTGCTGATTACTGGTTATTTTCCCTCTGCTCAAGGTCACACTTCCTAATTAATGAACTATTTCAGCGCATCTTGGCACTTCTGTTCAAATCTTTTCAACTAAAGTTTATTGTACCTCTATTATCAGTCACATTGGGCTACTCTTCCCAAGTCACTCCATAAAACATCACCAATTACATTTAAATCAAATATTTGTGTGAAGCACAGTACCTGCTTCTACCTAGCTGTTAATGGTAGTTTTCCAAATTGTACTCTGGACCATCGTACGAATCATTTAGGGGATTTTTCTGGACTACACTTCTTGTGCCAGGACAGCCAGTGCTTTGAAAACTTCTCAAGTATTTAAGGATCCAGCAAGACACCAGCCCAATACTGCCTTACTAAGTGAAGAAAACAATTGCAACCATTTATTGAGTGTAAATTATGTTCCAGGCACGAGGCAAATGCTTTATCTTGTTTTACTTAATCCTCACAACAAATGGCATTGTTTTCCAGAGATTATCTCCATTTTATAGATGAGAAAATGGAAATTAAGTCAGGTGTCTGAATTTTATTGAGCTAACAGGTAGTATAGCTTGGAGAGGTCAAACCTGGCTAAGATGACTCCAAAGCCCATACACTTTACCACACTGTAATGCTTCCCCAAGGGTAGAGATGATCAATTGGCCCCTGCCTGGTTCCAGGCGGAAGCCCAGGTTCTCTTCCTGAAGAGCAGTCCTAAAATACTTGAAAGGTAAATTGTTAACTCAAACATGGAGTAATTCTAGGACAAGAAAGCAAAAAGTAAAGCAGTAGGAAGCTCGTTATTCCTCAGGCAACCTATCTTCAGGGAGGTGTCCTTCTCTCCTACTCCCATCTTTGATAAATCCCCAAAGAAAAACATCCTTTCCACAATGTCAACTTTTGGGCACACACTTTATTGCACTTAATTTTTTATATATCCATTTCCCAAACTAGACATGTTTATTCATCTTGTTAATCCTCATAATCATTAAGGCCTACCACATAGTAGGCATCAACAACTGATCTTCAAAGCATGACCATTCATGAAACCATAATCCACTTTATAGTGAAGATGGTCGATATTCAGGCCCCACATGTATATTTTAAGGAATATAATTCCCAATAAGCTCTTTTTTTAAGGGTGAGAAACAGCTCATGCTCATTTTAAAATCAAGATGACATCCAGGTGAATGTGTCAGGTGGGTAAGTCATAATTGTTTTGCTTTTGTTTTCATTTTTAATGGGTATTAACCTTTAAAAGACAAATAGCAAACCATATTCGCCTGCACACCACTCACTGCTTTTTCCCTTCATTTTCTCTGTCTTTATGAAAGCAAAGGACTTATTCTAGTTCTCACCATCTGTAAGAGCCCTGGTCCACTGAACAATTCTTGACCCTATAGTTATTGACCCTTCAATTTTTGTCTTGTATAAAAGCTGTGTGTCGGGACTGAAGATCATCCACTATCTTCTCTTCTATTTCCATGCCTTTTTCTATTTCTTCCTCTGATAGCAATAACTTAGTTTCTGAGTCTTTGGTTATAATAACCACAAAGGACCGTTGTGACTCAAGGATATTAGCCACCACCACTTGATGTCGATACATTTCCAAAGCATTCCGTGCACGGTCAATTATGATAGAGGGATTAGTCTCCAACTTAAAGGAAATTATAAATGCTTTGGGAGCCCAGTCTTTAACCAAAGGAGAAAGCATTTTTGGCACCATCTTCATTGTTATCTGTGTTGGAAAAAGAAAAGCTTAATAAGCAAACAAAGGTCACCACCTACCAGGTCAATCTCATGGGAAACTAAGGAAGCAGGGGCTCAGATTTTTGACTATGTCAATTTAAGTGGGACTTCTCATTGTCAAACTTTTCAAAGCATATGAAACGCTTAGCTTAAAAGCCTTGGCTCTGTAGGGTTCACAAGGATGCCTAACTTCAAAGCTTTATACATATTCCATGGGCAAATCATATATAAGGAATCAGTCCTACTCTGCTATACTCTTCGCCATTAACAGAACCCCACAGAACAGCATTACACTTTTTCAAACATCTCCCTTTATTGTTTAAGCCAAACCCCCATGTAAACAAATAATCTACTCATGTAAAAGTTACTTTGGCAGAAGCTCAAATAAAGTTGGGTTTTTAAGCCTCAGCCTAAAATATTTCTTGCACTGACAGAATGGCTATTCCATTTCAAAACTGTCACTTGTAACACATCTTAGCACTTATAACTGATTTTCTTTATTTTCATTTGGTCACAACGTCTACTATACCATTCTCAATCCCTTCTAAAAAGAATGTTGAGTTGTTTTGTGCACTTCCAAGATAGAACTAAAAAATAAAAGATAAACTAAAGCTCCCATAATTTAAATAGCATGACATCACAAATCATCAGGTTTTCCCCTCAAAAAATTATGAAGTGTGATAGGGATCATACACCCCATTCTCCACTTTTTCTCCTTAGCATTTATCACTACCTAACATAGTACTGTCTCTTCTACAGAGTATAAGCAACACAAAGACATGGTATATTTCTTTCCCGTTTTACCTCCAGGTCCTACAACAGTGCCTGGCATATAGTTGGTACTCAATAAATAAACATTTGTTGAAGAAACAAATGAACTATCCTACAAAGTCAGTAAGTGCCCCACAGGTAGAGTTTCTCCTATTTAAATTCTATTTGTATCATCCAGTAAATGACTAAGAACTCCCTCAGGTTACAAGCAGCCAGATTACCTCCTGTCTCAATCACCCAACTACACTTCCTATACCGCCTCCTTAAATACAGCAATAGCCCCCATCTAATCAACCCTTGCTTCTCAAATTCACCTTTCCAACTCATGCCATAACGTTCTCAAACAAAAACATTCTCATTCTCCTACTTATGTTTCCCTTGGCGCCACAGGATAAAAAGTCCTAGAAGGAATAGAACATCTTCTATGAATTAAGCTGCTTCTTCTGCTCTCCATTCCCACCGCTCTCCCTGCTCTCTGGCCTTATCGAACAACTTCAGTTCATAGTCACTGCCCATCCCCAAACTCCAGTTGTGTTCTCTATCTGGAATGACCTTCCCCACTTTGACTGGTATACCCTCTGCTCATCTTTTAAATCTCAGTTCAAGTTATCTCCAGAAAGCCTTCCCGGACTTCCCAAGATTCAATCACCTCCTGCTTTGACTTCACTCTGTATGTTCCTCTCCTAGAACACTTATCCCTCTGTATTGTAATTATGTCTGCGTCCCGGTCCCTCACTAGATTGTGAGGTCCTTGAGGGAGAACGGTGTCTTACTCATTTCCGTAGTGTCTTACTCATATCCCTAGTGTCTAGTTCGTATGAAATGCAGAAAGGCCGTCTCCAGATCAGGAGGTTAACCCAAGATTGATTACAGGGGATCAGATTTCTGGAAGAGCAGCGCCTATCACCTGCAGTGGGCCCCCAGATGACTGGATCTTGTGTTCAGGCATTTCAGAGACAGGAACATAGAAATCTGACACGGCCGCAGCCAGGTAAAACATCGCAGAGGGGCCTGCAAAGAGAAGCAGAGGGTGTAACACATCGGAAAGGTGTATAGGATCAGGTCCTTTTCACCTCGGGTTCCCCTGCTGTGAGACCTGTGGGTTCTGAGGGTGTAAGCAGTGGTTCTCAACCTTCTGGCCCTTTAAAGACAGTTCCTCATGTTGTGACCCAACCATAAAATTATTTTCGTTGCTACTTCACAACTGTAATGTTGTTACTGCTATGAATCGTAATGTAAATATCTGACATGCAGGATGGCCTTAGGCGACCCCTGTGAAAGGGTCGTTGACCGCCAAAGGGGTCGCGACCCACAGGTTGAGAACCGCTGGTAGGGGGTGTCTGGGGAGAAAGGCACGCCTCCCGGGAACCGATGGATTCCTAAGGCACGCACCTAGCGGATTGAGCGCCTGGGCCGCAGCCTGCAGCAGATGCAAATAGTCCGCCAAAGTGGTGAACTCTATCGCCAGGAAGGTGCCCGCGGCCGCCGCTTCCTGGTAGCGCCTCAGAGCCGCCGCGAAGCCCGGGAGCGCCTTCTCCTCGACCTCCAGGCTCAGTAAGCCCGAAGTGGCTGGGCTGGTGGGCCGCAGCGCTGACAGCCAGGTCTGGGGAGGGAAGCGGTGGGCAAAGGGGAAGGCAGAGCGGGCGCGGTGGAGGAACAGGACCCCGTAGCCCGCCGCCAGGAAGACCTCGGCCGAGGTGGCCCCGCGCCGCCCGCTGCTGAAGTTGTCCAGGAAGCGCACTGCCCGAGCCTCCAGCGGGACCTTGGTGCCGCCGGACGTCACCAGCACTACCCGCCGTCCCTGCGCGCCCAGCCGGGCGGCGAAGCGAGCCATCACCTCGGCCCAGCGCGCAGCACCGGCGGGCTGGGGGAACTCGGCGACCAGGTCCACTTCCGCCATGAATCCCAGCGCTCCCCCGCGCCTGCGCACGCTCCTGGCCGCCGGCGCCGGGCCCCCGGCCCGACCTGGCCTGCGCGCAACCGCAATCTGAGGGGCGGTGCCCGCCCTAGATTTCTCCACGTCGGGAAAGGCGTGCTGGTTCTGCCTCACAGCCCGGCGGAACTGGCGCTGAGCAGACGCGCGTCTCTTCCCCCATTGCCTAGTCTGGGTAAAGAACTGGACATGTTTGCCCCTTACCGGCCACCGTATAGGCCTTTCTGCACTTGGACTCCACTGGAGTGAGACTGCGCGGCCATTTAACTGACGGGTTGGGGTTTGTGTGTGGGAGTGATGGCTGTCTTTTGTTTTTTTGGCTTTTTTAACCTCAAACACGCTCCAGGTGTTAGCCAAGCCACGCCCTCCCCCTGTCCTTGAAAGGCCGGGAACGAGGTGGCCCCGTGGTGTTCACGTGACACCGTGGTCACGTGACACCGGCGTCCAGCGTCTTCTCGCTAGGCAACCGTCCTAGAGCCTGAACCCGCTGCTGCAACATGAACAAGATCTACCAACTGGCGGTGCCCAAGGGGCGCCGGATCTGCTGTGAAGTGTGCGAAGCTCCAGCCGAGCGGGTGTGTGCGGCCTGCACAGTCACTTATTACTGGTAGGCCCTGAAATGTGGCTCCTAGGCGACCCGATGCCCTCTCCCCCAATCACCCCCCTGGGCCTGGGTGCGTCGAGGCGGTTCCAAGACAGGTCTCTAAGACTTCGGTGCCTCGTTTTCATCCTCTTCTACTCCATCATTCACCAGCAGATGTTTTGTTGAGCGCCTACTGTGCGCTATGCACTGTTCTGCGTGTTGAAGTCACTGAGGGAACTCGGCAGACCTTGTCCCTCAAAGGGCTAGTGACATTTTCACTGCGGCCTACCGATATGTAAACAAACAAAACAGGATGGTTTCCCAGAGTGATAAATGTCATAAAGTCAAAGGAAAGGCGATGGGAGGTCGGGCAGATTGCCTCTCTGAGGGCAGACCCTTGATCTGAAAGTAAAGTAGGAGCAGCCTGCCATGGAAATGGCTGGGGGAAGAGTGGAACAGTAAGGCCCTGAGGGAGGGAAGAATTGGCCGTGTTTGAGGAATAGAAAGAAGGCTATTTGGCCCTGGCGGGTGTGGCTCTGTTGGTTAAGCGTCCTCCCATGCACCCAGAGGTCACCAATGCGATTCCCTGGCAGAACACGTGCCCAAGTTGCTGCCTCCATCCTGTGGGGGGCGTGCAGGAGGCAGCCCATGGATGTTTCTCTCCCACCCATGTTTCTCTCTCCCTCTCCCTTCCTCTCTAAAATCATTACAAACATATTTTTAAAAAGAAAAAGGCAGAAAGCAGGCTATTTGGTGCACAGCCAGCATGGTAAGGGTATGGGGAGGGTGGTACTGGATGAGATCAGTTTTCAATTATTCAGTGTAACATCCTTTGACCTTTGCTTTAGAGGAGACCCTATGTTGGGCCTGAGATAAAACAACTAGGTTGCTGACTTCCAGAAACCTAGGTCAGAGCAGACGAACTTGTTTAAAAAAGAAAGTCGTTCTGATACAAGTGTTGTCATTCAAGGTGTGCTCTTCCCTGGGACTTCTAAGGATGGAGGCAGTGATTGGGTTAGTATCTGGACAGGTTCTCTGAAGAAGTAACATTTGAGCCGAGTCTTGAAATTTTAGTAGGAAATTGCTAGGTGAATGAACAGTGAAGAAGGAAGTGTAGGACGCTGACATCCAGGACTGCCTGGGTGAAGGGTGAAAGAACAGAGTTTATTGAGAGCTGGGTAAATAAGGTAGTAGTGGAGGGAGCAATCACTGATTTTTAAATTTCGGTCCATGACCCTTTAGCAGATTATGAGTAAGTCCCAACCAGCATTTTAAGAAAATAATAGAATAAAAATCATTAGAGTGATCCTACTTGAACTGTCTCTTGAAACTTTTAGTGTTCTTATGTGGATATGTGTGTTTGTACTGGAAAGATAGATGGAACACTATCAACATTAAGAACTTTTATGCATCAGAGAATACTAAGAAAAAGGGGAAAAGAGCCTACAGAATGAGAAAAAAAATATTTGCAAGTCTGATAAGGACCTGGTATGCACAACACATAAAGAACTCTTAAAACTCAACAATAAGAAGACAAAAGACCCTGTTAAAAAGATTTTTAATCTAATCAGCAGGTGAGTAGATTAAAAAACTGTGGTACCATGCTGCTGTAAAAAAGAAGGAACTCTTACCATTTGCAACAGCATGGATGGACCTGGAGAGCATTATGCTAAGTGAAATAAGCCAGTCGAAGAAAGATAAATACCACATGATCTCACTCATTTGTGAAATATAATGAACAACATAAACTGATGAACAAAAATAGATCCAGAGACAAGATCAACCAAAGGACTTGTATGCATGCATATACTTGTAAGCATAATTCATGGGCACAGGCAGTAGGAGGGTGAGGGCATGTGCTGGGGGGTGGGAATGGCCAGGGAGAGGTCAATGGGGGAAAAATGAGACATATGTAATACTTTAAATAATAATTTTTTTTAAAAAGTTTATGGTCTCTGTTGCAACTACCCAACTTTGCTATTATAGCACAAAGGCAGTCACAGGCAAAAATACATAGCACTCTCTCTTCTTCCTTCCTCCTGAGACAACAGAAATACAATAAAGTAGTTTCTTTATAAACTGGGACTGTTATCCTTGAAATGACATAAAGCATTTTAAAGGGTTTTTGGGTAGATAATTATTGTAAATAAATCAATAAAAGCACTTAACAGTCAGGATACAGAGTTGGGTCCACAGGGTATTAAATAGGGGCTTGTTGAGTAATTGTGTGACTAATGAAAATATATATATATTTTTAAATATATTTTATTGATTTTTTACAGAGAGGAAGGGAGAGAGATAGAGAGTTAGAAACATCGATGAGAGAGAAACATCAATCAGCTGCCTCCTACACACCCACCACTGGGGATGTGCCCGCAACCCAGGTACATGCCCTTGACCGGAATCGAACCTGGGACCTTTCAGTCCGCAGGCCAACGCTCTATCCACTGAGCCAAACCGGTTTCGGCGACTAATGAAAATATTAACTTACTTAGCTACCCGAACTTTTGTTCCACTGAGAGTATTTGCTATATCTTGCCTTTCTAAATAAAGTGACCTTCATTTAAATATTTGTGAGCTCTCTCCTTATCTATTTCTCTACCCCCTCCAATGCAGGGCCATGCATAAAAAAGGAATTAACTGAGGAAAAAAATTTTCATAGAGTTCACAGTCAAAGAGCTGGTGAGCTAGACAGGTTTTGTTTGGCCATTAACATGGTTTTAAACTGAATTTGAATGTCTTTAGGCAGAGCATTCATTCTCCAGTTAACCACAGATCCTATTGCTTCCTACTATTGAATATCACTTTACTGTTTGTTTTCCAAATCTTAGCTATGGTAAATTGTGCTGCTATGAACATAGGGGTGAGACCATATACTTTTTAAAGCCTAAAGTATTTACTCTCTGGCCTTTTATAGAAAACTTTGCTGATCCTGCCCTATATTATTGTTATCTATTTTGGATCATTGTTATCTATTTGTATAAATGGAACCAAACAGTTAATATTCTCACATTTAGGTAAAAATGTGTCCTAGGCAATAGAAATGCATTATATGCACATAATAACAGTCTTAAAATATCTGAAACAGTTATATGACAATTATAATTCAGTTTTCTTTTTCTTAAAAAGGTGAATGTGAAAAAAAAGCAATAACTGTGAGAATTAAATGGGGAAATAAATAATTCAGTGATAATACTTAGACACTTCAGTATCCCACTTTCAATAATGAATAGAACAACTAGACCAAAGATCAGCAAGGAAATATAAACCTTGAACAATGGTATAAACTAACTAGACCTAACAGACATCTATAGAACACCATCCAACAACAACAGAATGCACATTCTTCTCAAGTGCATATAGAACGTTATCCAGGATAGACCATATGTTAGAGCATGAAAACAATTTTCAAATTTACAGGATTGAAATGCTACAAGGTATATTCTTCAAATGTTACAGTCATATCTAGCTAGCTAATATTAATAATAAGAAAGGAACAAAGGAGACCTAACTGGTTTGGCTCAGTGGATAGAGCGTCAGCCTGTGGACTGAAAGGTCCCGGGTTCGATTCCGGCCAAGGGCATGTACCTTGGTTGCGGGCAAATCCCCAGTAGGAGGTGTGCAAGAGGCAGCTGATCGATGTTTCTCTCTCATCGATGTTTCTAACTTTCTACCCCTCTCTCTTCCTCTCTGTAAAAAATCAATAAAATATATATTAAAAAAAAAAAAGAAATGAGCAAAGGAGAGGCCAGACATTGTAAGCACAGTTGTCTGGGCAGCTTCACCAGGAAGCTGCAATTTTACACTCCCCAGGGAACTGCTGGTCCATTCCCTGTAAATCACTGGGGAAAGAGTCCAACAAAGGGAGAAATCCTCGACTGTGCAGCGAAGTCAGGGTGACATAAGGAAGGTGTCTGTCAGTCTAACCTGGGAACAAAGATCATTGGCTAGGAGGGTGGACCCAATGCAAGCCTGTGACAATTTGGGAATACATGGTCCCCAAAGGAATTCTTTTTCTTGTTCCTCTTGCTTCACCCCTGCGTCCTTGCACTCGCCTATGCTCCCTCCATAGCCATGTGGCCCTAGAAGTGGGCCTACGCCATCAGTCGGACATCCCCTGAGGGATCCTGGCCTGCGAGAGGGCACATGCCAAGCTGAAGGACACTCCCTCACTCCCAGTGCACGAATTTTCATGCACTGGGCGCCTAAAATATATATGTGTGTATATATATATATATATATATATATATATATATATATATATATATATATATATGGCATCCAGCTTGGAAAAGGAGTAAAAGTACCTCTATTAACAGATGACACGATCTTATAGTGAAAATCCTAAAGAACCCACACAAAAAACACACCCACCTATTAGAGCTAATAAATGAAAACAGCAAGGTTACAGGACTGCTATGCAAAAATCAGTTGTATTTCTATATGCTAGCCAAGAACAATCTGAAAGTGAGATAAGAAAACCATTCAATTTACAAGAGCATCAAAAAAAAGGGAATGAATTTAACCAAAATAGTATAAGATTTATACACTGAAAACTACAAAATATTGTTGGAAGAAATTAAAGAAGACCTAAATAAATGGAAAGGTATTCATAGATTGGAAGACTTAATATTAAGATAACAATACTTCCCAAATTGATCTGCAAATTCAATGCAATTCTTATCAAAATTCCAAGTGCCATTTTGCCAAAATGGACATGCTGATCCTAAAATTCATATGAAAACACAAGGGACCCAGAATAGCCAAAACAGTCTTCAGAAAGAACAAGTGGAAGACACACTTCTCAATTTCAAAATTTACTACAAAGCTATAATAATGAAGAAAGTATGATACTGGCATAAGGATAGACATGCAGATCAATGGAGCAGAATTAAAAGTCTGGATATAAGCACATACATTTATGATTAATTGATTTTCAAAAAGGTCACCAAGATAATTCATTTGGGAAAAGAATTGTTTCCTCTGTATGGTGCCGGCAAAACTGGGTATCTACATGCAAAAGAATAAATTTGGACCCCTACCTTATGCCACATACAAGGAAGACTAAATGTAAGAGCTAAAAATATAAAACTTTTAGAAGGAAATATATGTTGTAAATCTGTGTGATCTTGGATTAGGCACAGTTCTTAGGTATGACAACAACAGCACAAGAAACCAAAGAAAGATAGATCGAACACTATCAACATTAAGAACTTTTATGCATCAGAAAACACTAAGAAAAGGGGTAAAGAGCCTACAGAATGAGAAAAAAATATTTGCAAGTCTGATAAGGACCTGGTATCCACAACACATAAAGAACTCTTAAAACTCAACAATAAGAAGACAAAAACCCTGTTAAAAAGTGGGCAAAGGATTTGAATAAATATTTCTCCAAGGAAGATATACAAATGGTTAGTAAGCACCTGAAAAGATGCTCGACATGATTAGTGATTGGGAAAACACAATATAAAACCATACTAGGATGGTTATAATAAAAAAAGACAAAAATAACAAGTTTGGTTAGGAAGTGAAGAAAATAGAACCCTCATACATTGCTGGTTGGATTATAAAATAGTACATGCTTGGCCAGAGTGGTTCAATGGTTGAGCATCGACCTATGAACCAGGAGGTCATGGTTGGATTCCCAATGAGGGCTCATGCCCGGGTTGCGGGCTCGATCCCCAGCCAGGGGCATGCAAGAAGTGGCTGATCAATGATTCTCTTTCATCACTGATGTTGCTATCCCTCTTTCCCTTTCCCTTCCTCTCTCTGAAATCAATAATAAAAAAATTAAAACAAAATAAAATGGTACGGCTTCTGTGGAAAGAAATTGGCAGCCCTCAAAAATTTAAACATATAGTTACTATATGACCCAGCAATTCCATTCTTAGTTATATGCCCAAGAGAACTAAAAATATTTATTCACACAAAAGCTTAAGCACTAGTGTTCATAGAAGCATTATTCATAATAGCCAAAAAGTGGAAACAACCAAAATGTTCACCCACTAATGAATGTATAAACAAAAAGTGATACATCTATACAATGGAATATTATTCAGTCATAAGAAGGAATAACATTGATGCATGTCACAGCATGACTGAATCTTGAAAGCATACTAAATGAAAGAAGGTAGACACAAAAATCATATATTGTCCGTTCCCTTTTTTATGCAATGTCCAGAATAGGCAAATACATAGAGAAAGTAGATTAGGGTTCTAGGCATTACATGGGTGGAAGGAAGAATGAGAACTACTATTAGAGTGAATGGGGTTTTCTTTCTGGGTGAAAATGTCCTGGAGTTAGATAGGGTGATGGTTATATATTGTGAATATATTTTTTAAAAACAACACTGAGTTATACACTTTAAAATTGTAAATTTTGTGATATGTGAATTATATATCAGTTAAAAAATGTAAAAACAAAACAAAACACCATGATTGGAGGAAGGGTCAGATTTGGGTAATAAATTTGGAAGTCATTCATAGAGACAATTATTTAAGGAGTGGGAGTGGATTTGCTTGTAGAATTTTCCTGCAGTGATGCAAATGTCCTACATCTGTGCTGTCTAATCGAGTGTTTACAAATAATAAATGTGTATGTAAAACCGTCAGAAAAGCTGTATACCAAAATGTCACAGTGCTCCCCTTAGAGAGTTAAGAAACAGCTGGCTTTGGAGTACAGGCTTAGAGCAACTACTTAATCTCTTGGCACCTATGCTTCTTGACCTTTAAAACAGTAATAACAGATTTTGTTCTGTTTTCAAAAGTTAGTTACATGCAAAACCTCCTGCTGCACCACTGGCTTTGGGAGGCATTCACAGTGTGTTCTAAGTAAAAGCACCCACAGGAGCACAGAAGACAATGCAAGGGGTGCTCTCCAGAGTCCTGCAACATGAGGGCACCATGGTAGGAAAGTATCTCCTAGAACAGTGGTCGGCAAACTCAGTCAACGGAGCCAAATATCAACAGTACAACGGTTGAAATTTCTTTTTAGAGCCAAATTTTTTAAACTTAAACTATATAGATCGGTACATTCAACTTTAAATTCAACTTTAAATTCATGGTTTTCGTCTTCCGTTTTTCCTTGCTTCTTCTTTGTAGCCATCTCAAACAGGGCACCTAAAAAATGTTTCATTTTATAATAATAAAGCCAACACAAAAGAATTACAATTCTTAAATTGATGACAAAAATACCTGTAGGATTTGCAGCTGGTTGGAAAAATACAGGTAACTTTATGCTTCGAGTAGGTACTTTTGTCACCCGCGCGCGATTTGCAGATGCGACTAGCACTAACCACTGCACAATGAGACTGCTGACTGACTGGCTCACTCAACTCCTGCATGAATCGCGCTCGCCTCCCCCGAGCTGTGTATCCTGCGGCCGGACCGACCGACACCCCCCACTTCTTCTAACGCCACTTCTTCAAAATAGACTCGCCCAGGCCGAAAACCGACTTCTGTGCATGGGCCACGAAGTTTCAATCGCACTGTACGTGTGTGCCCGCATGTGGTATTTTGTGGAAGAGCCACACTCAAGGGGCCAAAGAGCCGCATGTGGCTCGCGAGCCGCAGTTTGCCGACCACTGTCCTAGAACCTCACCAAATGTAAATTCCTTTCTCTTCCTCAAGAAAAAGACCCTCACATCCCTCAGCTTCAAAGTTCAGATATTTTGAAAACAACGTTGGAATAATGCAGAAGTAAAGCTGTCTTTGTCGTTACTAATTAATCATGAAAACAGAATAGCCACAGCAGCACCACATGGCTTCTGAACGTGAACCTGCGCCTGCAGAGAGACCACCCTTCTCCGCCCTTTCCCAACCCAACATAGTTTTTCCACCATCAAATAATCACATGACAGAAAAGAGATTTTGTCTCAACATGGCTTGAGCTCCCTGCCTGGTCTGTGTTGGGCTGGCTTTTCTAGTTTCTAGGGCTAGGCCTGAAGTGGAGCAATGGAATTAGGTCAGCCCTAACATAAATACAAGGAAGTCCATGTTTTTATTGTCAGTGATGTGGCTCATCAGCAAGCTGACTGGAACAGCATTCATGAGAAGATCTGTCAGCTGCTGATTCCGCTGCGCACCACCATGCCCTTCTACAATTCAGAGGAGGAGCGGCAGCATGGCCTCCAGCAGCTGCAGCAGAGACAGGTAGGCCTGCGGGACAGGGACAGGTTAACTCCTGGGTGCGGCAAAACTGCCCAGGAGAAAGGGCGCTCTGGGCTGAGATCACTAACCTGTAACCTTTGTGAGGGCAGAGACTTGGTTTTGTGTTTTTATGTCCTCAGTGCCATTCAGTCAGTTCTCCACATACTTGCTGAGTATCTGCTGCGGTCTCCTTGGGCCGCCATAACAGAGGACCATAGGTTGAGCGGCTTAAACCACAGAAATGTATTCTCTCACAGTTCTGGAAGCAATAGGACCAAGATCAATGATAGGTGTTAGCAGGTTTGGTTTCTTCTGAGGCATCTCTCTTTGGTTTACAGATGGTTGCCTTGCCATGTCCTCCTATGGTCTTTCCTCTGTGCACACACAACCTTGGTATCTCTTCTTGTGTCCAGAGTTCTTCTTATAAGGACACCATTAGATTGGATTAGGGGCCATCCTAAAGGCCTCATCTTAACTTAATGCCCTATTTAAAAGCCCTGTCTCCAAGTGCAGTCACATTCTGAGGTACTATGGGTTAGGGCTTCAACATATAAATTCTGGGGAACAAAATTCAGCCATAACACCCATATATGTCAAGTACTCTGATAAGAGCTGAGGCACGTAGTAGGAGGTCAACAATGATGTTTGAATATATAAAGGAATAAATAAATAGAGGAGATTAGGAAAACTAGAATCACATTTTTTCTTTAAAAAAATAGCATTTTATAAGCCATAAATTTCAAAACACCAGATCCATCAATGTTAGTGTTGTCACACTTTGAGAGTGGCCTTAGAACAGTGATGGCGAACCTACGACACGCGTGTCAGAGGTGACACGCGAACTCATTTTTTAGGTTGATTTTTCTTTGTTAAATGGCATTTAAATATATAAAATAAATATCAAAAATATAAGTCTTTGTTTTACTATGGTTGCAAATATAAAAAAATTTCTATATGTGACACAGCACCAGAGTTAAGTTAGGGTTTTTCAAAATGCTGACATGCCGAGCTCAAAAGGTTCGCCATCACTGCCTTAGAACAATGGCCTTAGAGTAAACTTGTTTCTGATATTAGCTAAGCAGGATAACTCCAGAAGGAAAATTCTCTTAAAATTAATTCAAATAGAAAGGCAGACAGTTTCAGATAGTCCTGAGGCATGATAATTTTGTTAAACTAAAATTTTAATATAAATAGAAGAAGAATATTCATTTAATAATTTTCTCTTGAGCACTCATTTATGCCAAGTACGGAACTAAGATGAAAATACACTTATTCCTGGACCTTAAGGAATCTCACAGTGCAGAGTTTGCCTTTTTGTGTCGCTTATGCTAGGACTTGTGGCCAGCTTAATACAGGCAGGCTGACTGTGTGCCCTCAACCAGCTCATTAGGTATTGGCCTTATCTCCAGGTATACCTATATCCACCATTGTCTTTTACCTGTAGACTGACTACTTTTTTCTTCCACAGAAGCACTTGATTGAATTCTGCTACACCGTAGCCCAGAAATATATCTTTGAAGGAAGGTATAAAGATGCTGTCCCAGCAGCTTTGCATTCTCTTCGCTTCCGCATGAATGTGTATGGCCTGAGTTCAGTAGAGCTTGTGCCTGCCTACCTGCTGTTGGCCGAGGCTAGCATTGGTAAGTGGAAATGACTTACCCCCTGGAGTCCTTAAGAAGTGCTATATTGGGTCCTATCAGTAGCCAAAGAATCTAGCCTTGGTATCTTTTGTGCAAGAGCAGGGCTGCTGAAAAGTTTGGCACAAGATGGGGAAGGAGATGTCATGAACTTTCGGCTACAACTGACAAATCCACTGTAGGTGACCTAAGCAAAAGGAGGAAGTGTAGTAGGACGCTGGCGTGTCCTAAGGGAATTGAAGCACCATGAGGTACTAGAATCAGAATGCTGTAACAAAGGAAGGCCGATGCTCTCAGCTTCTATTTCTGGGGCCTTATCTCTTGCCTCTGCTTCTCCATATCTGCAGACCAGATTTTTCTACCTTATGCTTACTGCAGGAGACAGCAACCCTAAAATGTCAGAGACAGCTGAATTTACATTCTCCAGGTTCACGGTGGGTAATAGAAGCTAATTAGCATTTGATTTACAATTTTAAATTCCTAAAGAGAATTGTGTTGACTCAGTTTGAGGGTGGTATCTACCTACCTTTGAGTCAGGGTCATGTAGTTCAAACAGGAATACAGGAACCTGCTCCTATAGATGAGAGGCAGTGTTGAGAGTGGGGAGCATACCCATGGCAGACATCCCATGTGGCTGTTACAACAAGAGGAGCATTAGCATTTTTGAGGGGAGTTAACATTTTTTAGTATCTACAGTATTTCATTTTGAAATAATTTCTCAACCTTTCCTTGATGCCTGTGACTTTAATTTTTTAAATATTAAAAGTCAATTACTTTATAAAATGTCCCTCAATTTGGGTTTCTCTGAAGTTTCCTCTGCAGACGATGTATCTTTGGCAGGAATATCATAGAAGTGATGCTGTGTTCTTCTCATCCCATCCTATAAATTGGCACATGTTTTCAATTTATTCCATTACTGATGATGATCATTTAAGTTAATTCACTCTTTCAAAGTATACTTCAGCAGTTTTTTCTTAAAATGTATTTTTATTGATTTCAGAGAGGAAGGGAGAGGGAGAGAGAGATAGAAACATCAATGATGAGGGAGAACCACTCATTGGCTGCTTTCTGCAAGCCCACTACTGGGGATCGAGCCCACACCTGGGCATGTGCCCTTGACAGGAATCAAACCCAGGACCCTTCAGTCCACAGGCTATGCTCTATCCACTGAGCCAAACCGGCTAAGGTTAATTAAGCAGTTTTAATATATTCAGAAGATTGTGCAACCGTCACTACGTTTAATTCCAGAACATTTTAGTTAACCCAAATGGAACCCCACACCCATATTAGCAGTCATACCCCGTTTTCCCATACCCACATTTCCTGGCCACCACTAATCTACCTTCTATCTCCATGGATTGGCCTTTTCTGGACATTTCATATAGATGAAATCATACAATAATGGCCTTTTGTGTCTGGCTTCTTTTACTTAGCATATGTTTTCCAGGGTCATCCATGTAGCATATCAGTACTTGATTTCTTTCCATGGCTGAATACTATTTCATTCATGGATACAGATAGACCACATTTTGCATATCTACTCATCACTTGGACGTTTAAATTGTTTCTATTTTTTTTGGCTATTATGATTAGGCTGCTATAAATTTTCGTGTATAAGTATTTGTGTGTCAATAAATGTCTGAGTTAATGAATAAATGTGTGAATGCATGATGACATATTTCATCATGTGTTTTCTGGCCAGGATATGAATTATAACCTTCTTTCAATCTTTTGGACAGGTCTAGACCAGATCGTCCAGGCTGAAGAATATCTATCCCAAGCCCAGTGGGCAGTCCTCAAATCAACTGATTGTAGTTATGCCACCCACTCTTTACTGCATCGGAACCTGGGACTTCTCTTTATGGTTAAGGAAAACTACGAGGAAGCCCGTTATCATCTGGCCAATGATGTAAACAGTCTAAATTATAACACCTGAATGTTTCTGAGTCCAGCCCTGTTTAGTTTTTGTGGTGTGTTTTTTTTTTAACTGAGCATTTCTCTATAACTTTTTTGTCTACAACTGACTGGTGGGGTGTTAACAAGAACACAACTTTTAAAAGATTTTTAAAAAATTATTGATTTTTTAGTGGGAGAGGAAGGGGAAGGGAGAGAAACATTGATGTAAGACATTCATTGGCTGCCTCCTGTATGCCCCCTTCCGGGGATCTAGCCCACAACCCCGGCATGTGCCCTGACCAGGAATCAAATTAGTAACCCTTAAATGCACAATATGATGCTCCAACCAACTGAGCCACTTTGGCCCAGCAAGAACATAATTTTAACAACCTGAGTTCAAGCCTTCCTGGCTGTGCAAACTTGCCCAGATCACATCATTTCCCTAACCCTCAGTTGCTGGGAGGGTCATAAAGGGAGGCAGACAGAGTACTGACTAAGAGAAGGGCTTTACTTCTAGTCTCAGCTCTATAATCTGACCAGCCACATAATCTTAGACAAATCATTTAACCTCTTTCATCACCTTCAACTCTGTTGAAATGTTAAATAGGATAATAAGGGTGATGACTGAGCAGTTCTTCCAACATTTCTGAGGTTTCTATTAGGATTTCAGTATTGGACAATATTACCAGAGAGAATAGTTTCTGAGTCTGAAATCTGGATGAGGTTAGGGTCAGACTGCAGTCTTCATGCAGGTTGGTTCTCTCTTCAGCCTCTCCACTGGGCAACTCTCCCTCTGGTTGGCCGCCACTGCACAATGTCCATAGAGCCAATGGAAACATCTTGTGGTGATCAGTCTCCATATCCCCTCACCCCAAATCCATTTGCTGCCCTACTCTACCCTGGGAGGCTTACCTCTGTGGACTACACAACCTGGACTCCATTGCTTTGGCTTTGGTTTGGAGAGTGAGCGATGTGGCGGGGATTGAAGGTTGGGAGGAGAAAGAGGTTGGGGTGTTTCCTTTCTCTGCTGCCTTTCTTCCCTACCTCAGTTCTGGCAGGGACATTGTTCCTTACGACTCCTGTCAGGTAGCCTTCTTCCATGGCTCTGGCTCTTACTGGGCCCTCGTAACCCTGCTTTCTCCCCTTGCTTTTTCAGGAGTCGGGATGGCAATTTCTTGCTGTTGAGAATCCCCAGTGCCTCCTTAGTTCTTGTTGGTTCCTTAACCCTTCCACATCTCTGTAAATAATTATTTTCATGAATGTGTCTTCAGGAAATATTTTGAGGGTTCCATAAATTTCCACCTATGAGCCTGACTAATGCACTTCTTCATCTGTGTTTTTTTGCACAGATAGACTCTATCTACCCCCTCTGACAAATTAAGGATTTGTTCATTCTGTCTTGAGGTGGGCCATCCTGTTAAGAATGAGAGCAAGCTCAGATTCCTCAGCCTGGCTTTAAAAAAAAAGGAAAGAAAAAAGACTATAAAAAATAGATCATGCCCAGCTGGCATGGCTCAGTGGTTGAGCATCGATCTATGAGCCAGGAGATCACAATTTGATTCCTGGTCAAGGCACATGCCTGGGTTGCAGGCTCAATCCCTAGTGTGGGGTGTGCAGGAGGCAACCAATCAATGATTCTCTCTCATCATTGATGTTTCTACCTCTCTCTCCCTCTCTAAAATCAATTAAAAATATATTTTTAAAAAAGAATTAGATCAAGCTCAGAGTTCTCAGCCTAGCTTAAAAAAAGAAAGAAAAAAATTTTATTGATACATATCATAAAATTCACCCACTTTAAGTGAATAATTAAATGATTTTTAGTAAGCTTACAGAGTTGTGCAACCATTAACACAATCCAGTTGTAGAACATTTTTTTATCATCCCAAAGAGAGCCCTAATATCCATTTTCAGTCATTTCTCATTCCCACCCCTGCCATGGAGCGGGAACTGACCTGGAGCAGGTCTGCCTCAGACCAGCCTGTAGTGTGTGGGTTCTTGATTCCACGCAGGAAAGATTTCACAATACAACTCCAGGTGGCTTTGAGAGTATGTTTATTCAAGCTGGGGACAGTGAAACAAGGGAAGGACTTAGGGTAGAAGAAGCAACAGTGAGAGCCTAGGTGGGTAGCTTTGGCTCTCTAGAAATGTTAGGGGAAAGAAATTAGCCAAGGTGGGCCTGCTGTCTGCTCCCCAGAGAGTCAGAGAAAAGGAGGCCTTGGGTACAGGTTCAGAATGTTAGCCCAGGAAGCGCTGCCGCTATCCATTGCTTCCCTGGTTGCAAGTGTGGTGGGGACCCTTAGGGTTTAGGAGGAAGTAAAAAGTTCATACCTGAGAAGGGGCATCTGTGTGCTCCAGAGAGAGCCCACACTGGGTCTTCGTCTTGAGAGTTTTCATCTTTCTTCTGGGGTGAGAATCTTAGGGGAGGGTTTCAGTAGAATATTCATCAGCTTTCCAGATTTATTTTGTTGTTGTTAATCCTCTCCCACGGATATTTTTTCCATTGATTTTTAGAGAGTGAATGGGAGGAAGGAAGGGAAGAAGGGAGAGAGGGAGGCAGGGAGGGAGGGAAGGAGGGAAAGAGAAAGAGAGATGTGAGAGAGACACATCAATTGGTTGCCTCTGACACATGCCCCAACTGGAGCCAAGGATCAAATCTGTAGCCCAGGTACATACCCTTGACCGGGAATCGAACCTGTGACCCTTCAATGTGCACCCAATGCTCTAACCACTGAGAACAATGGCCAGGCACCAGATGCATTTTTAATATGCTGATGCATCAAAATGAGGAGGGGAGTTTGGGATTATTCTTTAGTCTGCTTTACTGTTTGACTTTTATCTTGGGTTGGTCTGGCTCTAATGGGGTTTTTGTTATTTGTTCCCCTGACTTCACCTGTCCTTGGGTTTAGCTGGCATGAATGGCATTAACTGGGTCTCTGTCCTCTGTCTCCTGATCAGGGTGATTTAAACTATGTATTCTCTGGTTAGGGAAGAGAGGTATAAACCATTTGCTCTCAAGTGTCCTTGGTTGGGGAAGATATTAGGTCTTGGGATTCACTAGCTGGCTGTAAGTTGTTTGGCCTTGTTTAATTTTCTTGTTTAATCCCATCCCACTTGCCCAGGAATTTTCCTAGCTTCTTACTATCCCACCTCACCCCTGCCCCAGGCAGCCACTTTCTGTTTCTCTAGGTTTGTCTTTTCTGGACGCTTGATATAAATAGAATGATATGTGGTTTTTTGCATCTGACTTCTTTCACTTAGCATAATTATTTTGAGATCCATCCATGTTGTGAGTATAAATACTTTATTGCTGAGTAGTAGTCCATCATCTGAATATACTACAGTTTGTTTAGCCATTCATCGGTTGAGGGACATATGGATTGTTCCCACTTTTGGCTATTATGAATAATGTTGCTAAGAATGCATTTTTTTTCAGGTGACTTTTAGAGGATGTTTATTAAAGCTGGGGACAGTGAAACACGGAAGGGCCCAAGATAGAAGAAGCAACAGGAAAAGGACTAGGTGGGGAAATGAGCCTAGGCTGGACTGCTTTAGCTCACTAAGAAGTCAGAGAAAAGGGTACCTTGGAGACAGGGAGAGGGAGTTAGCCCAGGACAAGCTGCCACTTCCCATTGCTCCCTGGTTGCAAGCCTCATAGGGTCCCTTAGAGCAGGGTCGCCAACCAATGGTCCCGGACCACTGGTGGTTTGTGAGGTCTGAAAGGTTGGCGACTGCTGCCTGAGAGCATGCCTGTGGGAGAAGAGGAAAGGGAAGGGAGAGCATTCTCTCTCCACTAAGAATATATTTATACAAACCTTTGTATGAACACATGTTTTCATGTTCTTGGGCATATGTCTAAGAATGGAATTGCTGGGGCATGTAGTACTATATGTTTAGCTTTTTGAGAACTGCCAAACTGTTTTCCACAGAGGCTGCATCATTCCATATTCACACCAGCAAAGTACGAGGGCTCCATTTTCTCCACATCCTTGACAATACTTGTTGTATTCTGCCTTTTTTTATTAGAGCCATTGTAGGGTGTGAGAAGTGGTATCTCGTGGTTTTATTTTGCATTTTCTTATTGACTAAAAATATTGAGCATCATTTCTTATGGCTTATTAGCCATTGGTACATGTTCTTACAGACATGTCTCTTCAGACCCTTTGCTCATTTTTAGTTGGGCTGTTGTAAACATTTTTTGTATATTCTGGATACGAGTCTTTTTTTTAAAATCAGATATATGATTTACAAAGAGAACACAGCACTCACCTTCTTCCTCTGCTATAGATTTATTTTGCCAGTTGTGCATATGGCACAGAGGACATCAGGACCTCAGGAGGCTACTTTCACCTGGCTAATATCTTCTTTGACCTTATGAAGTTTGACCTGGCAGACACGCTGTACACCAAGGTGAGCTAGGGGATATGGGAGCTGAGCCTTGACACTTAGGCCTTGTACCTTACAACTGGTGTCAGATCATTCATGAGAAATTTGAAGCACAGAGAGATAAAGGCACTTGCCCAAGTTTACATAGCCTGATATATGATATATTCCAATTTTTTTCTTCCTATTTCTCCACTACCAAAATAGTCCTTAGAATCTATAGGATGATCTATAATAAAAAAAGCATAATATGTTAATTAGACTAGATGGCCAAACGACCTTCCGGACGATATTCCGGATGACCTTCGGGACGAAGCCGGGGCTGTGAGGGCCGAGCCCCTTGCACGAATTTTGTGCATCTGGCCTCTAGTTAACAAATAATAAGTGATGGGTCAATAACCAAACCCCTCCAAATAGATTGCCATATGCTCTGTCATACCCATAGAAGCAAGGTAATGTGGGCATATTGAGGTATGTGATAGAGAAGGAAATGAGATTTTAATATATATTTTTACTGATTTCAGAGAGGAAGGGAGAAGAAGAGATGGAACATCAAGGATGAGAGAGAATCATTGATCAGCTGCCTCCTGCACGCCCCTTACTGGGGACTGAGCCTGCAATTCAGCATGTAACTTTGACCATAATCAAACCCAGGACCCTTCAGTCTGCAGGCAGACGTTCCATCCACTAAGCCAAACTGGCTAGGGCAGAAATGAGATTTTAAAGGGGAAAATTATGGCTAAAAAGTCATATGAAGGGATCAAAAAATATGAGTGCACTTGAAGTCTCCATCTTTGCATGTGAAAGATTTTAAACTGCTTTTGGTATTTAAAATGTCAGTTATGTTCATAGAGTAACACCTCACGTAGCAAGCAACCATTTCTATGTGTGACATAGGCTCTCATGCTGTGACTGTTTATTCATATTTTAGGCCCACTTTTGAGGAAGAGGCATTGTGGTGTAGCTGAAAAGAAATGAGCTTCAGAGTCAGACAGACTTGAATTTAATTCTTGGCTGTGCCACCCATGAGCTTTTACCAAAAGTCAAGTACAGTCTTACCATCTCTGAGCCTGTTTCTCTCTCTGTAAAATGGGGAAAATAAGACTATGACCTCAGTTGGTGTTGTGAGGATGTAAAGGTTTAGTTATATGTGCTCAACAAATGGTAGTCATTGTTATTAGATCCACCAGGGCTGTCCCCAGATCAGCCAGGTGCCCTTTGCAGCCCAACACTTGCCACACTCACTTTGGCCAGGCCTGTTTGGCTCCGAAGCCTCCTCTTCCCCTCCTCCCCCCAACCAGGCACAATGAGAGAGGGAGTCTGCAGATGGTTAGAGGTGCTGCCCTCCCAGCTGGCTGGTCCAATGACTTAAGACCTAGCCTGCTTGTCTGATTGTATCTTCTTTCCTAACAGGTCTGTGAGATCTGGGATAAATATTTGAACAATCACTATCAAGTCCTCTCAGAGGCTCGCGTCCAACAAATAGATTTACTGGGCAAACGATTTGAGACTGACACTGGCTTGGGTAAGTGGCAGTTCTCCCTACGAAGCAGAGCAGTGACTTCCTGTCAATCGTGGGCCTTGTCCCGAAAATAGGGAGAGCTGCTGTGCCTGTCCTGGAGCACATGCCATCTCCCCCATATTGATTATGGGAAAACTGAGACAGGGGAGCAAAGGGATTTTACCAGAAGTCAGATTTCTAGCACCACACACAGCCTTTCAGGGGATATACTTGGAGGAGAGCCCACTGTACTTTCTGCAGAGCATCCATTTCTTATGTGTTATCCCTCCAAGGACATAAGCCATGGCTCAACACAGAAGTGGCATTACTCAATTGTCCTGGTGCCTTATCCTCTTGCTTTACTGGACAGTGAGCTCCTCAGTGGCAGTGCTGAGTCTGATTCATCTCACCATTCCCAGGCTCGGCAAAAGGCTGAATGTTGAGTAGCCCTGGACAATATCACTCCCGCTGAGATAATAAAGAGACAGAGGATCTAGCTTGTGCTAAAAAAGTGTAGTTGGTGAGACAGAGCCTGTCTGAAATACCAAAATACAATTTCTATGAGTACAAATTATATTATAAGCCGAGCCCCAGAGCTAAGAGGTGAGGCTGGTGTTGAAGGGGGAAAGACTTCTTACAGGAGAGGTTTTGAGTTAAGGATTAAAAAATTAGTAACTTTATTGAGCTTTCTCTTATGATAAAAGTGGTTTATGTTAAAGCAGAAAACTTGGAAATCATAGATAGCTGAAGATAGCCAACCTTAATATTATGGTATATATCCTTTCTGTCTGTTTCTCTAAGCTTAACACAGTATGTCCTCACTTAATGTCTTTCATAGGTTTTTAGAAACGGACTATAGGCTAATTGATATAAACAAGAGTTAAGTTCCTATGGCATACTTCTGGTCACGAAAACATCACCAAACTTCTAAATAAAGACCTAAAACATTTCTAATATTAAACTCTGAAATAAATGTGAGCTATCCATACATTTAAGAAATATTAATAAAAACTAGCAAGATAATTCTTTTCCAGACTGCTTATTCCAGTTCAAGGTCGCAGGTGACTGGAGCCCATCCTAGCAATTCAGGGCACAAGGTGGAGCCAACCCTGGACAGGATGCCACTCCCTCAAAGGGTGCACTCACACACACACCTACATTCACTCAGACTGGGACGATTTAGGCACACTAGTCACCTATGGGTACATATTTGGGCTGTGGGAGGGAAACTGAGGACCAGGAGAAAACCCACATAGAAGTGGGAGGACATGCCAACTCCACACAGAGAGTGGCTTTGATTGAGAATAAATTTTTTTCTCTCATCAATGTTATAATGAAGTGATGTCTAACAAAATGATGTTATTTGGGACTTGCTATACTTAAAAAAGTGCTTTTAAGTATCTGGCCCATAATAACTCATAATCTCTCTCTATATATAAAAGGCTCAGTGACTGACTGACCGGCCAGTACATATGACGTGCACTGGCAATTTAAAAATAAATGTTGACTTGTGCATGTGTGACACAGATAAAGCTCTCAGAATGGATATTATTGAAATCCCCCGTGAAATGATTGTAACGGATCTATTATTGAAGCTACCTTTGGAAATAGTATATCTATAGATAATATTAAAAATATATCTAAATGTGTGATTCTTTGTCCTAAAAATTGGCACTTTCATAAATTAAATGAAGAAATTTTGGATATACTTGATGGAGATTTTCACACCTATTTGAGTGATGATTCAACAGATGATGCTGGAAAGGAAAATTTTTCCATCAAATTTCTTAATAGTATTATTCCTTCGGGAATGCCGTGTCATAAATTAAAATTGAAAGTAGGTGCAATCATCACGCTACTGAGAAATCTTAACAGTAAATGGGGTCTTTGTAATGGTACTGGATTTATTATCAAAAGATTGTGACCTAACATAATCAAAGCTGAAGTATTATCAGGATCTGTGGAAGGAGAGGTTGTTCTGATTCCAAGAATTGATTTGTTCCCATCTGACATTGGCCTCCCATTTAAATTAATTCGAAGACAGTTTCCTGTGATGCCAGCATTTGCAATGACTATTAATAAGTCACAAGGACAAACTCTAGACAGAGTAGGAATATTCCTACCTGAACCCGTTTTCGGACATGGTCAGTTATATGTTGCTTTCTCTCAAGTTCGAAGAGCATGTGACGTTAAAGTTAAAGTTGGGAAATTAGTCAAGCACTCTGAAGTGTTTTTACTCTTAATGTGGTATAGAGGGAGATATTAGAATAAATTTAATCAATTTATCAGTCATTGTTTTTATCAGTGTTGTTTTTTTAAAAATATATTTTATTGATTTTTTACAGAGAGGAAGGGAGAGGGATAGAGAGTTAGAAACATCGATGAGAGAGAAACATCGATCAGCTGCCTCCTGCACATCTCCCACTGGGGATGTGCCCGCAAACAAGGTACATGCCCTTGACCGGAATTGAACCTAGGACCCTTCAGTCCGTAGGCCAACACTCTATCCACTGAGCCAAACCGGTCAGGGCTCAGTGTTGTTTTTATATCACGTCTTTGTTGTTATATTATGTTGTTACTGTTTATTAATCAATTTATATATTGTTTTCATATACATTTTACTACTTTTCTTTAATCTCTGACACTTCTATTATAGAGAAAGGGTGAATAACGATATTAAAATATTTCTTCTAATTAATTTCCTTTTAATGTGCACAAATCTGTCCACTGGGCCACTAGTAAGTCAATAAATAATGACTAAAGGAGAACCAAAAACTGCTGGGGGGAATTGTAAACAGCCTCCCCAGGGAAAGCAGAAAGGCTATGCTTAAGCACCTTTGGAGTTGGGGAAGGAGAATTAAGATGCTGCACCTTCAAGAAGCTCCACTCCCCCCTCTTGCTAGAGAGTGGAAGCTGAGTTGGGCCACTGGGACAAATCCCCTGTATTTGGGAGCCTAAGAGATCCAATTCAGGACTCTGAAAGAGAGAAATCTTAGCAACGTTGGGACTGATCATTTTTTTAGGTTTCTCTCATAATGACATGCGAGGCGAGGCCAGGAGCTGCCTGGAACTGCTCTGTATGTGGCAGCTGCCCTCCAGGTGGAGAACTTGCTGTGCTTTGCACTGCCTCCACCAGCATCCCTGTGAGGAGGCTTCTGGAGTCCAGGTGCCCACACAGCTCGGTGCTTACCACTGAGGGCAGACTCAGCTGCCTCCAGGAGCTGTTTCTTCTTTCCCTCCTTTCCACCGCAGATGAAGCCCAGGAAGCAGAAGCCATTCGGATCCTGACTTCAATCTTAAACATTCGAGAGTCTACATGTAGCGGAGCTCCCCAAAAAATTGTCTTCGTTCTGAGAATCCTGGTCATGCTTTACTACCTGATGATGAATTCTTCAAAGGCAAGTTTCCCCAGAAAGTCAGCATGTCTAAAATTGAGATAGAAATCCCTCTAGTTGAATCCAGCTGTGTTCTGCCCAGTTGCATTAGCGTTTGTCCTAAGAGTAAGCCCCTACTCCAGAAAAGCTCAGAGGCTCGTGCCAGGTTTCATTTGTTGAGTCCAGCCTGCATAATGGAAACTGGATTGTCCTCTTTCCTCGAGGGGGCCTTCCCAGAGTTGCATAGGTAAACTGAGGCAGGGGCAGTACTAGAAAGCCTGCAGGGCCTGAGGGCTCTGGGGAGTCCTTGCAGGAATGGAGTAACAGCTTTAACTACACTCAGTGAGTTCCTGCAGGTTGGCAGTTTATTTATGGTCCTGTTCATCTCTCTGCCTTCCAGTGTTGGTTCAAAGGGCCCTAATTAAGATCCTACAAAGATCTCACTTTGCTATGAAAGTGTACTTAGTTTGTCAAGCCAGGTGACTTTTTCTGGTGTCCCCTTCCCCACCCAGCACACCTGTGGCTAGCTCTAAGGATCCAGTATGTGTTCACAAGTTTCCAACAAGAGCTCAGTGGCTGGTGTGAGAAGCTGATGGATCCTTTCCCATGTTTCTGGGATTGAGCACAGATGGGGCTTCCCAATGTAATGCTTCCCTGTGACAACTTCCTCTCGTCACTGCAATTCTATTCCAGGCACAAGAATATGCCACCAGAGTCTCTAACATAGCTCAAGAAAAACAGCTCAGTGCCCAAGAACAAAACCTCATTGAACAATTACTGCACATCATCAACACTGAAGTAATTTTGCCCGATCCTTAGTGACCCATGGGTTCCACGTCAGGGCCTATTCAAGCGACTATTGAGCATCTAACATATTCCAGCCTTGTGCAACTGCTTTGAGGTACTATGAATTGCTGAAGTTCCCACCCTCTTGCCCTGTGACTTCACATATAGTGTGTTTTTATTCTTTCTTGCACAGCATATGTAAGGGAATATAGAGCTTTGGGCATAGAAATCAGTAAAACTTGTTTATCATGACCTTTGCACTTGGGTTATCATGACTTTGTACAACTTTGAGTAATGTGCTATCAGGTCACTAATAGGGTATTTGTAATTAAACTGCAAACAGTTTTTCATATTTCCCAGAAGTCTCCAAGTGATGCATGTTCCATAGATCTCTGCCAGAAAAAAAAAAAAGCGGGTGGGGGTAGGAAATAAGCTATATTGGAGCAAAGTTTCCCTATTCTACTGGAATTAAGTTAGCATTAATTTGAGGTAGTTTGTGATTAAACTGTCCACTATAATTCCTAGAGTAATCACCAAGAAAATTACTCTAAAAATAGTTTAAAATCAACAAAGGAATTAAAATATACTAGAAAAAATCCACTTAATGCAAAAAAAAGGCAGTGAAGGAGAATGAGAGGGACAAAAAGGACAGGAGGTATATAGAAAACAAATAGCAAAATGCAGACATCAATCATAGATCTTTTCCAGAGAAGGCCCCAGGGCCTTGCAAGGTGCCCTAGTACAGATTGGCTGAGATACCATTCCAGGTTGGCGTCTTTGTCTTCCTAGACAGCGATTTGAGCAGACGTGAGCCATTTATACGGTCTAGGGGAGAAGCCCTCTGAAAGATCCTACAAAGATCTCACTTTGCTCATGCCAGGTTTCATTCGTTGAGTCCAGCCTGCATAATGGAAACTGGATTGTCCTCTTTCCCAGTGATGGAGACAGAGTGCAGGCCTTGGACTCAGATGTGCATGGGTTACAATCTCAGCTCTTTTACTTAATATCTTTGTGACCTTGATCTCTCCCATAACCTTATTCATTATTGTTGTAAAATGGCCTAGATGTGGCCATGGCAGCATCATCTTGTTTCCTGGATGACCGTAGTCACTTAACATATCTTTTTTTTTTTGTACTATTTTTTTTTAGTGATTCTAGGGAGAGTGATTGAGAGATAGAAGCATTGATGAGAGAGAAACATTGATCAGTTGCCTCTTGCATGCCCCCTACTGGGGATCGAGCCTGTAACCGGGCATGTGCCCTGATTAGGAATCGAACCGGGGACCTTTTGGTTGATGGGTTGATGCTCAACCACTGAGCCACACCTGCTGGCAGCATATCTTTTCTTTCTTTTAGCTCCAGGCTTGTCAAACAGCCTGTCCATTAGCACGCTTAGCTTCATAGGTAGATTTGCACCCAGGGAGAGGATATGCAAGTCAAGGACCTGTCCGAGAGTTTTTTGTTCCTCACTGTAAATTAATTCACTCAGATACATAATAAAAATAGGCCAGATTGCCCTGGCAGGTTTGGCTCAGTGGATGGAGCTTCAGCCTGTGGCCTGAAAGGTCCTGGGTTTGATCCCAGTCAAAGGCACATGCCCAGGTTGAGGGCTAAATCCCTAGTAGTGGGTGTGCAGGAGGCAGCACATCAAAGATTCTCTATCAGCATTGACTAGAGGCCCGGTGGATGGGATTTGTGCACTGGTGGGGGCTGTGGCCTGCGGGGATCGGCCCGCTGTGGGAGTGCAGCTCATCCTGGTCAGTTGAGTGGCTGTGGACCCGCCCTCTGAGTGGGAGTGCACTGACCATCAGGGGGCAGCTCCTGCATTGAGCGTCTGCCCCCTGGTGGTCAGTGCATGTCATAGTGACCGGTCATTCTGGTCGTTCCACCATTCCGTCGCTGGGCTTTTATATACATAGATGTTTTTATCTCTTTCTCCCTCTCCCTTCCTCTCTGAAATCAATAAAAATATATTTTAAAAAATAATAAAGGCCAGATAGGCCACCCTACCCCTTCAGGTCTAGGTAAAATCTGCTGGGAACCCCATTCCACAACTTTGGGCATTTTTATGCTTCTCCTGTGAAGTCCCAGAGCCTGACTTTTCTACCATATCTCACTTTAGTTTTACAATTGCATCCTCACTCTCTACTGTTCACCTTGTAGTTGTTTTTTTATCTCTTTAGGGACATAACCCCTTCTTCTTGGTTCTCACCCACTAACCTCAAATATAAGTTAGCTCTTTCAAATAGATGTTTAGTGAAAATTTGCTGAGGGGTGGGGAGGGGTAAAGAGGAGGATCAACAACTCTTAGCACATAATTTAAAAGAAAATATCAGAACTTCCCTATTCTAAAAAAGTCCTTTAAAGTCCATCTCATCAAATTCTAGTTCTCTCCTTTACTATATTCATTGCCCTTTATTTCTCCCCTCCTCCATTACCTATTCTCCGTTCTCTCTACCTCTGAATTCTTGTTCATGAATTCTTCCCTATTGAGTAAATGTATATAATTATTGTTTAAATGTATTATTTCTATTGACTGATCTTCCTCTTTGTCATGTCGTAGTAATTTAATTTTCAGTCTTCCTGCTTTTATAACATTTACATATAGGCTATAAATTCTCCTCTAAATACCACTTTAGTTGATCCCACATATTTTAAACTTAAGCATTTTAATTGTCATTTTGTTCGAAATATGTCTTAATTTTTAGGACTCATGAGCCATTTAGAGGTATGATTTTAATTTCTAAATGAAGGTGACTTCTTTGTTGACGACTTCTAGCTTAATTTTATTGAGGTCATAAAATATGCTGTGTACAATTTTGACTTTTAGAAATTGGTTGAGATTTGCTTTATGGCTGAGGATATGGTCAATATTTGTAAATGATCTGTGTGGGCTATAAAAGAATGGAGTAATTGGGCACCGTGTCCTACATATCTCCACTAGGTCAAACTTGTTCATATTATCAAATCTTGCATATTCTTTTTGTTTAAATCTGAGAGGCATATGAAATTCATCCATTATGATTGTGGATATATCTATTTCTAGTTCTGTCAATTTTTACTTTATATATTTTGAGGCTTTGTTATTAAGCAAGCACACATCCAAATGTTATATCTTACTAATTAAATATAGAGTTAAATCTTTATGTTTTATATTATGAAGTGCGTCTTTTTATCTCTAGTAATGCTTTTGACTTTAGAGTCAATTTTGGCTTCAGAGTAACATAGCTACACCTATTTCCTTTTGGTTGGATTGCTTGATCAGCGAGGCATCATCACTTACCTCTGCGTCAACATTTAGCTCTACTTCGAAGGGGAAGCTAGGAACTACAGTATCTCTTTCCTTTATGATTCTGGATGAAATTCAGCCAAAGAGGGGCAACTATGCAGATTTTCAGAGCATATAAGTCAGTTTACTATTGAGATGAGAATATAAAAACCAAGATGACATATTACAAATATTGTCCCTTGCTTGCAAACCTTTGTAAGGATTGTAGATCTTCCACACATGTTAATGAACAAAGAAAAAAATAGTTTTCAATAAAAAATGATCATTAATAGTTTGAGAGTCAAGTTTTACCACAAGAAAGAAAATTGGATATGGGGGATGAGGAAGATAGTAGGCAAAAATGACTACTGGAGTTTTTTCTTTTCTGGCTTGAGCAAGCAGTTGGCATTGTGCATTCAGGTGAGGAGGCCCTGGAAAAGGAGCGAGCTTGTGGGAGAGATATAAAAATGTGAATTCAGATTGGGGTGCAGAGAGTTTGAGATATTCATGAGACATTTGAGAAGAGATGAAAATGTAGGCAACTGGACATGCAATCTGACATTAAGAAGCTTGGGTTTGAAAGAGTAATTTGAGAGTATCATGTAGATGGTAACTAATACCATGGGAATGGAGAAGATCGCCTAGGGAGGAGAAGAGAGGCTAAGGAAATGCCTCAAAACTGAACATTCAATGGAGAAGAGGTGAACCCAGCAGAGGAGACTGACATAATTTCAGATTTATTCAGACTATCCACACAAAGAATTCCCACATCCCTTTCACCTTCATTCCCCAAATATTAACATTTTACTACATTTGCTTTATCATTTTCTTTCTATGGATACCCATTAATATGAACCATTTGAAAGTAAGTTGCAGACATTTTGCTCCTTTATCCCTCAATATTTTTTTTTTAAAATATATTTTATTGATTTCTTACAGAGAGGAAGGGAGAGAGATAGAGAGCTAGAAACATCGATGAGAGAGAAACATCGATCAGCTGCCTCCTACACATCTCCTACTGGGGATGTGCCCGCAACCCAGGTACATGCCCTTGACCGGAATCGAACCTGGGACCCTTCAGTCCGCAGGCCGACGCTCTATCCACTGAGCCAAACCGGTTTCGGCTATCCCTCAATATTTAAAATATATTTTCTAAAAACAAGGACACCCTCTTATATGTTCTCATAAATAAAATCATCAAAGTCAGGAAGTTAAAATTGATAGATATTATCAGACAATAAAATGCAGGCCTTTTCCAGATTTTACCAATTGTCTTAATAATGTTCTTTATAGCAAAAGGAAATCCCTGAGTGAGCAGTGCATTCAGTTGCCACGTCTCTTTTGTCAGAGGACTACCTTTAGATGCGACACAACCTGCTGCTACTCAGGTGTTCTCTGACTTACCTCAGGAGCGATTCAGCCAAATTTTCTAATAAGTGAAGAAGCCAAGGCCCTTTGGGGAATCTAAATAGCTGTGACTCACTGAGGGTACACAGCTTTTCACACCAGTTTGGGTCGAGGCTGGTGGGAGTGAGGCGGGATAGCAAGAAGCTAGGAAAATTCCTAGGCCACTGGGATGGGGAAACTGAGACAAGAAAATTAAACAAGGTTAAACAGTTTGAACAATTTACAGCCAGCTAGTGAATCCCAAGACCTTATCTTCCCTAACCAAGAACACTTAAGACCAAATGATTTATACCTTTCCTCCCTAACCAGAGAATACATAGCTTAAGTCACCCTGGTCAAGAGATAGAGGACAGAGACCCAATTAATGCCATTTGTGCCAGCCAAACCCAAGGATGGATGAAGTCGGGAACAAATAACAAAATCCCCATTAAAGCCAGACAGACCCAACATAAAAGTAAAACAGTATAGAGACCAAAGAATAATTCCAAACTCCCTCAACATTCATTTTTCTGTAATACTGTGAACAAACAAACAAACAAAACACACACACACACACACACACGCACACACACGC